AACTCATGAAAACAGAAACAGAGAAACACAGAAGTCACTGGAAAAGTGTGGATGTGCACAGTGATGGCACTTTGCACTCCTGTTTGGATTCATTGCCCGGGTATCAATGGAATGGCCTTTTGGAGTTGATTATCTTCCCATTCAGAGCATCTCAGTTGGGTGTCACTCCTGCGTTCGGTCACAGTGCTGAGTTGGCCTTTTTCAGAGTGAGGGGTTTTTTTTCTGTTGCAGTGCTTGGAGGGATTTCCGCAAGAGTAAGGGGCTGGTGACATCACAAAAAACATGATGGAAATTTTCAGGCTGTGTACAGTAGGCGCGGTGTTCCTCCTGTCTTAAGTTTTTGTAAAATAAAAAGGCAGCCAGTAATGCAACACATTTGGCTCTAGGGACAGCAGTGTTGGTCAGTCGGTCGGTCCACTACTTTGGTCCAGAAGTATCTCAGCAACTACTGGATGAATTACCGTGACATTTGGTGATGACGTTCATGTTCCCCTGCAGGATAAAAAGCATTCACTTTGGTGATCCCTTAAATCTTCATCTAGCGCATTATCATCAGGTCAAATTTCTAAATTGTCCAAGACTTCAGTTTATAAACAAATACCTGCAAAACGAATGACATCCTCATCTGCCTCAGCTGTACTTTAGTGCTAAATAGCAAATGTTAACATGCTAACATGCTGAAATATGCCAAATATCACTATGTTAGTATGCTGAAATTAGCATTTATCTCAAAGAATGCTCACACAGAGTTACTAGCGTAGCCGGAGAATGTCTTTTTTAAAGTAAAGGTTTTTTGTGCGTCTGTACACTCTTCCCCCTGCTGCTTCGCATTCATAGCTTCGCACGTTCTCACCTGGGAGCTGCCCTCTGCTTTAAAAGTCCACAAAGTGTTTGCCACTGAGCAGCTTGACTGCAGCTATTAGAGCCTCAGTGACCTTATTCACTTTCCCCATGGACACTAAAAGTCAGAGAAAGCTAGCAGTCTTTAGTTTAGACCTAGAAGGAACCTGTGATGTCACTGACTCCCGTCTCTCGCTGCTGGCTCACACAAACCTGCTCAATCTTGGACAAGCTGGTAAACACAGCTAGTCACTACTGAAACAATGTCACACTATTCTCTTTTATTTTTTTGTTCTGTTTCCGTCACTGCTGTTATCTGTCAAATCATCTGTTGTCCAGTTGTTCTGGAGAAACAACACAGTTGTCCTCTTTTCTTTTCCAATTATGGGGTGCATTTTAGTAAAATTTTGATTTTACTATTTTGATACTGTCTCGGTTCTTACCTCAGAGAAATTTTATTTTGTATGACAAAGGAGAAAAAATTGCCAGAAATATTGAAGTAAATATCCTTATTTACGAACGATGCGGCCATACTGCCTTCTCACTTGTACATACAACAACTAGTTTGGCTGGAAGCAGAGAGGGCAGGTTAGGGAGACGACCACACCAGATAATATTATTATTATTTTTGTCAGAATGACCATTTTTGTACCAACAGAAGAATATCCAAAACTGCTTGACCTAACTGGCAGTGTGACTGTTTTTTTGTTTTTTTTTGTGACTGTCAAGCTTTTAGCTTCTGTATGTGTATGTGTGTGTGTGTGTGTGTGTGTGTGTGTGTGTGTGTGTGTGTGTGTGTGTGTGTGTGTGTGTGTGTGTGCGCGTGCGTGAGTGCGCGTACATGCGTGCAGTCTTGTGTGAATGCTTCGTGTGTATTGGATGAAAAAGTGTTTGTGAATACTTTTTTTTTTCTTTATGTTGTTGTTGTTTTACTTGTATGTATATGTTGGTTGTCCCAAATTCTCTCCCAACACAACTGATATTTTAACTAACATAACTTGCTATATTGTCAACAATACACTGATTAAAGATGCTACCCTGGTTGATTTATTATGCCTACTTTTGTATAGGATTGATGTAAAATATCATGTCTCTTGTTCATTGTTGCCCCTTTCAGTTCATGTGCAGTCAACTACTAATATTTGGTTCTCTAAGAGCCCTGTTGCATCTTTCTTGGACTTCAGGTTTTTGAAAACATAGAAACTGCAAGTGTACAAAACTAGCAAAGTAAAACTCAAATACACTTTATTTCATGGTTCTGTAATTTCCTAATAATTTCTTTGGAAGATCTGCTCCCCAGTAAACACTAGTAAATTATTGCTTCATTATTAGGAATTGTATTTGTCATATTCCATGAATTGCATGCTTCTCTGTAGACGTATTTTTGCATGTTGAGCTGAGCTGCTGCGCACTGACTCGGAGACTCTCTAGATTAGAGAGTGAACTGAAATGAATTCATTGGAGGTGCGCTGATTTAAATCTGATTAAGACCAAATGACATGCTACTTTCCAGGAAACTTCTTGCAAATTATTTGGAAATTACTCTGAAATTATGAACTTGTCGAAAAAACATTTAATATCTCACTGGTTTTTACTGAATACCTGCAAGAAATATCTGAAAGCTCTTCGAAAGCCTATTAAGAAAATGCAGGCTGTGATAATTTAATGAAAACACACCTCCTCTTCTCTTTCTGTGCTGTATTGTCACCATATATCTGTGTGACCGTAAAGTGCTGCGTCCATACAATCAACTGTTTTGTTGTCCTCAAGCTGCATTTCTATGTATTGTCTGCTTGGTGTTGCTATGCACTGATTTTCTACATTGACAGAGCCCATTGTTTCCCACACAAAGTAAATCTCCGCTCCGTCTCACCATAACACTTAAAGTTAGTAGCAGACAGTAACATGTAAGGGAGGAAGATTTAAAAAGGTACGTCACTGAGTTTGTATTACACTTTTATAACATTTGGGGGACTGTAAGTGACCCCTATAAAATGTTGCTTTGCTGACCAGTGGATGTTTTTTTTTTAACTTCTCACCTTGCTGCAGTCATGTAGAAGTGTCCTCCAGTTGCGTGTCTGCACACTGTGATGTCACTGTGATGTCTCTGCTGGGTGCAAGAGAGCTCAAGTGACACTGGGTGTGGTCAGAGGTGAAAACTGACCGTCGCCTAGAGAAGCAAAGGAAACACTTGTATAATATCTCGACTATTCTTTTGACACAATGCATACAACTGTTTTTACAGTTTTATTCTATATTATTTCTTATTTATTCTCCCCATTAGAGCATTGCCCGTGCAAACATACTGCATGGGTAACATTAGCTCATTGCTGGTAGCCTATAGTGTAAGTATTAGTGTATATTTCTAGTCATTTTGTATCTTTGATATATAGACACAGCATCTCCATTTCAGGTTATCCACCAGAGAGCAGTGAATGTTACAGGTCGTGCTTATTACATAATAAGTCACAATTATGCAAGTGTGCTTTAAGGAACTATCGGCCTCAGAAATCCAGTATCAGGCAGATTCTACTTAATGCAATGAGCAAATTTAGCTTACAGTTAAAAATTGGTGGACTGCTCCTTTAATCTATCTCTGTTCACTCTGTGGTTTAATTTTAACAAAAAAAAAAGAAAAGAAAAGTGCAGTCAGTCTAATGTCGAACATGCAGGAACCAAAGTCAAGCGGATTTGTCTTCTGGATGAACTGACCCTTCACTAACTTTAATTCATGGCTGCAGCCGCTCTCAGAGCCAAACCTCTTCTCTTTGTCTTAGCTGAAACAGTTTAGAGAATCCGTGCTTTGCAAATGAGAGTCATGAGACCCGGTCAATTCAACTCAACTTTATTTAAACAGCACATTTCATACAAACATGCATATCAGAGTGTTTCACATAGCAAGATAAAACAATAGAATATAAAAAAAGAAACAAATACATACAATATAATGGACACAATGGTTGGTGAAAATTAATGTTTAAAATTTAAAGACTATGGTTATTACATTACTCCAAATTAAAAGCCCGATTAAAAAGGTAGCTCTTTAGTTTCCTTTTAAAATACAAAAAAAAAAAAAAATTACAGATCGAGCTTGTTTGGTTTTAATAAAACTGATGCAGCGTCTTCCACAGTTCAGGGGCTTAAAAACAGAAAGTCAGCAGCAAAGCGGTGTTACACACAGTAACTGCAAACTCAGCCTCCATATTCTAGCGGATGGATCCAATGAAAACTCAGCAGGACACTTCCGATGCCTCTTGGTGCTCAGGAGAGCCGAGTTAACTGCAACTGAATCTCCTGACAATCCTTTGCCTGGATCTTCTACGGTAATCCGCTGCTTACATCCTAACTCCATGCGATTTAAATTGTCTTTGTGGTATTTGATTATTTTTATTTGTTATTATTATTATTTCTTTCCAGGCCTGTAAAGGAAGAACAAAACTTTCATGCAAGGGTGTGGAACCCATTAGTTAGGGTAACGCTTTTGCATTTAGCATCCTTTTTTTCCCCCCCTGTAACTAAACACGCACACGACGCTTTCTCAGTAACAGCAAAGCGTAATTTGGCACACTTTACGCTCTTCATCCGTTACGTTGCCTGCGTATTTGCGCATCATCGCCAAGCGGAGCGCTGGGAACTCGATCGTTTTTCAATCTACACTGCAAAAAACATCCACCTCGACCGATTTTTTTTTTTTTTTTTTTTGCGTCGACATTTGTTCTTAAGAGGTCTTCAAACGTCTGAAGCTGCGTTTTTCAGGAAATAGGATGATCCCGCTTTCATTTCAAATTTGAATCCTCTCGCTTTTTGTGCAAAAGTTCGATCGTGAAACTCAACTTTGAATAACCGAGTGTGGTCATTTCTTGCAGCGTGAGCAGTAAAAACCCACGTCACTCTGTCAGACAACTCCCCCCTTTTTTTCCTCCCTGTTGGACCAACATCCACAGTTCAGGAACAACTGGATAAAGATTTTTTTGGGGGGGGAATCAGAGGAACAATCATGATGACCGGATTTCGGCTGAACTTGTCGCCGCTGAAGGAACCTCTAGGCTTCGTCAAACTGGTGGAGTGGGTAAGTTAGATGTGTGTGTGTGTCATACCCAGAGGACAGGGAGGTTCAGTCCTTTTCTTGGTCCTTGGTTTTTCCCCCCCCCCCCCCCCCGAGGAAAAAATCACTTAAGTAATCTGTTTCAGGAGGAAATTATTAAAAATGGAGATGGCTAAAATATTCATAAAGCACACAAACATCAGCATAACTTTACCACACATTCATAGAAAGTATACATCCACTTCATCCTTGCTTCCAGCTGCAACCCAAGAGTCTTCACACAATCTGATAGTTGAAAGTGTGAATAAAAATGTCAGAAAAAGCAAAATAAATACCTCACTAATGCTCATTTAACTTGATTTGCCTTCTTCCATGTACTTTCTCACACACTTTAAATTGAGATCAGAGATTGAAAGTGAGGATAAACTTTGACAAAGAAAAGAGAGTTCAGTTCTGTGCAGTTGAATTATCTGGCTGCAGGGGTCTGCCCTTCAGAGGACACGGTTAGAGATTAATGCATCTCTCAGCAATAATTTACTTCTGGGTAACTGTGCAGACGATTGAGATGTTTCGGCTGCTCCCATACTCATATTCACACTCACACTCTCTGGGTTTGTGTGTGTCATGGTGGACCGTGCAACAGTTGCTTATGAAAAGTCCAGTAATCAGTTTTTCTCTATGTAACTGGGTCAGAGGAATCCAGTGTGGGTAATGCAGCTCAGCTAGTTTCTGTCATTTGTTCTGTTTTCTCATTACACACACACAGACACACACACACACACACACACACACACACACACACACACACAGACATACACACACTTACAGAGCTATAGAGCAGCAGTAACACCCAGTCATCTGACTCAGGACAAGGCTGTGTGTGTGTGTGTGTGTGTGTGTGTGTGTGTGTGTGTTTGTGTGTTTCACTGTGTTGGCCTTATATAACCCTTATTTAACACAGCATATTTTCTTATTCACAAGGGGCCCAATGATAAATTGTGTGCACAAATTCACTCATTTAATGCTGGGGGCTTCCTTTGTGCTAATACAGGGGTCCTCACCCACACAATAGCACTAATGACTACATTAAACACTATTAACTGGGTCCAGGAGTTTGAGTCATCAGCATAATGAGCAATAGCTGAACAAACACTTATCACAAAATATCACTGTTAAAAAAAAAGACCTATTGGAGAAAATGAATTATTGAACACGGGTTTTTATTATAGACACCATTTGGTAGATTATTTAAAAACATTCCATTGCATTATCCGAATAATAATTGCCAAATTCATACAAAAAGCTAATGCTATGTTAGTGACTTTCAGGTGACGCCGCCATATTTGAGATGTAATTGCACTAATATAAATAAGAAAACACTAAAAGATGTATTTCCAAATTTGCATGAGCACATTTGTTCATTGCCACATTTCATGCTTTATACTAGAGGCTGAAATGATGAGTCAATTAATTGTTTAGTTCGTCAACAGAAAAATAATCAGCAACTATTTTGATAATCAAATAGTCGCTATGTGATATTTTTAAGCAAAACTACCAAACCTTTTTATTCTCCTAGCAGGAGTGAGTGTATATATGGTCCATGGCTCTTTAAGAGAGCAAAGTTCTTGGTTCTAACAAATGGTTTATCTCCACCACAGCTGATGAAACTCAACTATCCAACAGGTTGCCCTGTATAAATTCCAGCATTTTGTCCTTCTAAACTGTGTGTGAGTGTTCTACATGAAAATGTAGTTTTCCTGGGTTGGCCTAAACACTCATACCTCCCTGGATATTATCTTTCATACAGTAGTAAACAGGAAGGAGTGTTTGGAGTAACAAATGCTACAGGGCTGCCCCATTCACTCAGCATGTTGAATAATGATGATAAAGCTGTTCCTCCTTTTTTTTGGACTCGTGACAACATCATGTCTCTTTGCCAAAAGGGGGAGAGCCAGATTTGCAAGGCTTGTGAAGGAAACCCAGCGGCAAAGTGGGCACATGCACATGCTCCACTGGCTTAGGGGGGTTTTGGTCAGACTGACCTGGACTCAGTGACCTCTGTGTAAGAACCGCAGGGTGGGCTGCTGATTTTATCTGTTACTAAGAAGATATTTCAGATTAATGAGGATATTCATCTTTTTTCTTTTCCTGATAACGTCCGATCACAGGTCCCTCCCACCAGATGTAGTCACTCCTCATTGTTTGCATCTCATACAGGAACCTGTAACTTAACTTCTATTGCATATTGTGAGTGCTTGCTATGTGTGCAAGTTGATGATGCTGTCTCACAGCTAGGTTATGAGGACGGGCTGTGAGTCCACAGTCTTTGGAAGTCGCCATGTCTGGAGGATGTGCCGCCACCAGCAGGCTTAATTAAGACTAAACAGTGATACTGGAAACTTTGAGAAACACTCAGCTGTCCGACAGTGTTTGTGCAGTCTAGTATTTATGCTGTTCAAGTATGTGTGAGAGTAAACAAAATGGTCAAAATGTTGATGTGTGTGTTCGGTGTACACTGGCTGTTACAGTTGTCCAAGCTGTGGCTCCGTGACCTCGTAGTGGGAGAGTGACAAGAGTCTGTGAAGCGGGAATGTGAGAGAAGTAGCTTACTGCGGTGTGTAGCCAGAAAAACAGGAAGTGGCAGCCATTGACATCTGGAGAAACATCTGGAGAGAGGCCTCGAGGTGTGTGTGTGTGTGTGTGTGTGTGTGTGTGTGTGTGTGTGTGTGTGTGCGCGCACGCAGATGTACAGTATGTGTGTTAGTGTGCACACGTGGGTCTTGTGGTGTGACACGAAAGGCTAAAAGTTGAGCTGCCCCTGTTGTAAGCACTTTTGATGGATGTGAGTAGGCTATGTGTGATACATTTGTGCTGATGAAGCAGAATTAAAGAGGTCTGTTTCAAGAGTTTCTTTTTGTATATTTGGGTTTGTTGTGCCCTGATATGAACAGCTTATGGTGCATGTCCTTAATCAAAATCATTTTCTTTGTCATATGATGTAATCCACTAGGCTTCCAGAACAAAGACAACGAGCTCATCTTCACCTTAAAGCTGCTGTAATCAATATTCTTTATATCAATAACACATCAAATGACTATATATAATACAGTTCTCCTCAGCTCTGTGGAGTTTTAGCGCCCTTGTTTTGATTTTGTGGCCCACAACGTACCCCACTGTGTGCTACCTGCTCAGCCCCAAATAGCAGACACAAGTTAGCGACTAGCTAGTGAACATAGTGGAGCAAAAGAATCAGATTTTTCTCCCAACAGTTGGTGGAGAGCCGAAAGGAGAGTGAATATTATACTTGTATTTGTCAGGTGGCCAGAAACATGACTCCAAATGAATGCTAAAGTTGCTTTGTGTCAACTAAATATGCAATTAGCTTGCTAGCATATTAGCCGCATCATCATTTTGAGGTAATATTAGGTGGGAGTTGTGTTTAAAGCTTATTGTGTTGCTCACATGTGGCCAAAAAATTAATGAATGCAGGTTTAAGATGTTTCTGGGAAACAGGGATATTAAAACATGATTCTATAACTGTCTATATCCTTCACTTCAGTTTGTTTTCATATGGCCGACTCGTTTAATGGGAAATCCATTTGTATATTTGCATCTTGTCAAACTGCAAGACATACAGCTGTTCAAAATTCCTGATGTGTGAAGCAAGATAGTTGTTCTGTGTTGAACTCTATTGTGTAGCGCAGCTGTTACACAGTTAGGATGTGTGATGATGGGCAGAGGCGTGAAGCTATGCATGTCGAAACTTATATGATCCAGTGAATTATTATGATCATTGTTTCTCCTGCTGCAGTCTGAGGGCTAAGCTCAGTAGCAGACAGCCTGACTAAAAGAATTTAGTATGTGTTGGTTTTAAGGAGAGTATTAGTGTCACATGGTCCACATGCTGAATCAGATGCTTTTCTCCCCCCTGCAAGAAAGAATTCAAGAGACGAATGGCAGAATTAGTGTCGCCGTTCGCCATGTAAATGCCATTTTCATAAGAAAGCAGCCCAGAGAACATGTACCCAATCATCTTTTCAGATAATGTTAGTTAAAAGGAGTATTTTGTTGCATGCAAAATTATATTGTTGGTTAAAGAAACATACTTGAGATACATACTGAGAAAGAATATACTGAATATCACTCCTTCCTCTTAAACAAATCCCCAGTATCTTAGGTGTCTTGAGTTTCAGATGTTTTTCCCTTAAAGCTGAACAGGGTTTTTTCTCGCATCTCTCAACCTCCTCCCTCATCTCTCGCTCTCTCGTGTCTGTCCAAACAGCTCACGGCCATATTTGCTTTTGGAAGCTGCGGTGGATTCTCAGGAAGGAACGTCCTATCTGTCTTCTGCGGCGATGGAAGGAATGAGACGCTCAATGCCGACTTTCACTACCCTGTGTGGTGAGAATGTCAACACTTTTTTTTTTTTCGTTGTTGTTGTTGTTTTTTTTTTTGTTTTTTTTTTGGTCTGATCTGAGTGGTTCCCAGCAGCAGACACAGGTTTGAAGTGTCATCACTTCACTGCTCAATTAGAAAAGACAAATTTCAAGACACTGGAAACACAATGGTTAACGATAATTTTAGCCTTGCATTTTGTGTTGTCTTGGCCAGGTTAAGCCAAGTCTTGCTCATCGTGGGAAACAAAAGTCTTTGTGACCACTCTGTCACAACCACATACATGGTGGGAGACTCAGCCTCCTCAGCTGAGTTCTTTGTGGGTATCGCTATCGTCTGCTTCCTGTACAGCATGGTGGCTCTGTTGGTTTATTTAGGCTACATGCACGTCTACAAGGACTCTGACTTTGGACCCATTTTTGTGAGTATTGATCTTACTTTCCTGATTTTCCAATATCGTGGGTCACTGAAAATGAGACACTTGTAGCTTCTGTCTGTAGAGCTGATGTGTCCGCCCTTGTTTCCAGGACTTTGTGCTCACAGCGATCCTGGTCTTCCTGTGGCTGGTGTGTTCATCTGCCTGGGCGAAGGGCCTGCAGAATGTGAAGGACGCCACAGACACCGAAGGCCTCAGCGCCACGGTGGCACTCTGCAAGGGCAGCAACATAACCTGTGAGGTCACGGAGTTCGCCAACATGAGAACCCTCAACATCTCTGTGGTGAGAGGAAATACAGAGCAGCTTTCCAGATTTTTTGTCTTAAAGTAAAGGGGAACTCCACTGATTTTACACTTCAAAGTCTGTTTACATATGAGTGCATTTGTGACTTCATCCAAATGATGAATTAAATCATTTGTTTTTAGTGTCAACACTTCTCAAGCTCCTTGTTTTACTCTGACCCGTAAAACCAAATATTTGGCCAGTAGAAAAGCTATTTCTATAAAAAAAAAAAAAAAAAGAGTCAGTGATTTTGGCTTTGGCCCATCCCTCCATTTTATGCAATACTACTCTAACAGGCAGCAGCATAGACTTGAAGCAGCCTGACTCACAGTCATGCGACACTGAGCAATAACACTTTCATTTTCCTCAGACTCTGTTGGTGTGCTCCACTCAACATTTTCTGTGACCAAAGCAGATTTGTTGGGCTGATGTCAATCAGTCCTTAAACTGTCCCCGAATGTGTAATTGGTGACTTTTTTTTTTTCAAATTCACAATCTGTTATAACCAGTCCTCCATTACCTTTATTTAAAGTGTTTTCTAGTATGATTAAACTCTTTTTTTCTTCCAGGTGTTTGGCTACCTCAACATGTTTGTGTGGGCGGGCAACGCTTGGTTTGTGTACAAGGAGACTCGCTGGCACTCTCAGAAATTCTCTTCCCCGTCTGGACATGGACGGCAACAGGTCCCTGCACCCATCTAACATACAGTATACATACAGCAACACGCCAAGTCAGAGTCACATACAAATATGCAAAGACACAATAATTGACACGCACACACCACACACAGAACAGAATTAGCCACACATGCATAAGTTTGTCCACACGTGTAGACAAATGTGCATGTAGACATAAATACACTTACATGCACATACAAAATATGTTCTGTGAAAACGATGAAGACAGACAAAGTGAAGGATTAGTTGAAAGATGGTCAGTTTAAAAACTGTGGTCTTACTTGATTTGGAGCTTATCACTACAGTCACAGCTGTGTAGGTAGTACACAGAGCTGAGCTGGTATTTTGTAACCCACAATGACTAGATGTCATATAATTCCTTGCACATTCATGACATACTAGAACTGAGAGTACTTCTGAAAGAAATGCAAATTTTCCCTCCAAATATTCCTGCAGGCTCTAAGTAACCCTGCAGCAGTAGAACGTTTGGGCGGGAGAAGGTATCATTCAAATGGTTTAAAGGTGCTATATGTAAGTATTTCACTTTAAAATGTTCTAAAGTTAACTAAAGTTATCAACAGCATTTGAAAAAATAACACTATCTCAAAGACGTCTGTGCATTGTGTTGTGTAGACTGCTAAGTAAACAGCTGTTAATACCAACGTTGGCAATGTTGCGATAGCAAATACTTACACATAGCACCTTTAATGTCTTCACATGTGCCTTTATTTTTACCACATACTATAGCAACACTAATGCAATTAGTATTTCAAATCGTTTTAAATGTGCCCTCTCACAACTATTCCGAAATGGTTTCTTACGCTTTAGCAGGTGATACACGCACAGACAACGACCAAATGTCACGAGCTTTATAGCAGCTTTGTGGCTTGTGTTTATGAAGAGAGGTTTTTCTTATTTCTTTGTGTCCATTTTAGCATAGTGGTTACATTTATTATGCTTAATTATTACATACTGATGAATGTAAGGTACTTTGAACTCATCTCTTTGTCTATGACATAAAACCGAGCACACAGAGCTAGATTACATGTTCAACATCAGTCGCAATAAGGACAATGTGATCAAGGTTTTCAGGGTAAAACAGAGGCTAATACTATTAACTATGAGGAATTATATCATAATCCTCTATACCATGTCACCAATTCAGAAAATTTGCATTCACTGACAAATACTGTATAAATTTTACATGGGCTGTGAAATTTTGTCATACATTTGCCTCAGTGTTAAATCCTTTTTTTGCACGTATGGTATGTTTTGAAAACATTTTTTAAAAAAGCACTTGTGTATCCAGAGAGTGACACACTCAAATATTCATTAATTCTGTCTTTCATTCATTGGTTCTCTGGCATTGAGTCCATTTCCCCCTTCGTGGTGGTTATCAGGCATGGAAATGTCTACAGAAGAATAAACTAGGATTATCCATTTACCAAACTAGTGTAAGGATGTCCTCTTTTAGCACATAGCTGAGGTGAATGCATAAAAGCTTTTATTCTCGCGGGTCTTCTTTTTTAAGATAAATCTATGCGCTCAAGCAGACAAGTTAAATTTTGATGCTTGGCCTCCAACCTAAATATCAGGGAGGTAGTTTGCACACTCATTGTATGAGTTTCTTATCACAACATGCACAGTTCACTCTTGTGGTGCTTAATATGCCTTTATGATGTCCTTCAAAGCACTGTGAGAGTGTAAAACCATAAAGAATACTTGATTGAGAGTTGGCTATTTAATTAGTTCTGGAAAATGTCGCTGTGTGAGTGCAGCCAAAGTCTGAAATCTTTCAATTTCTCTGAGGGCTTTGATTTATTTAGCGTCTACCAAAGTACCAGTTAAAGGATAAGTCCTTGTGTCCTTTTTTAAACTTTTCTTTTATTATCATGTTGAATGTAGTAGTAACTTCTTCTTTTTAATTCAAATTTTCATCCATCGTTTTTTTGGCATCACTGTTAAATAGAAACTATTCTGCCAAAGCAATATTTCATTTTTTTCCTGTTTAAGCTTATTTCAAATCTTTATGTGATGTTAAAGCAATAATCTTGTTGTTGTTGAAAAAGTCCGTCTTATTTTTTGATTGTCTAGTTTTTTTTTTTAATCCTTCATGAGACACCAAAAATTGAGCTGGTGTGTGTGTTTTTTTTTTTAAACCGTGTGACTTCTTTGTTGTATTTTTCATTTTCAATACATGTAGATTGTTAGTTTGAGTAGTTTTTGATTATTTTTTTTTTCTTTTTTTGTCTTTTGCTTTTATAGTAAAAATGTACAGTATGTTGGGTGGTGTTGCTAATTCATTTAACTCTGCTGAAGGACAGAAGAACTTAAATGAAACAATAACTGTGTGTGGTGTACTGGTTATGCCGCTGCACTCTTGTAATCATCATCCAACACGCTATAGCTTTGTCAATGATTCCTGTGCATTTAACCTGCCAAACTGTCTTATTGAAGAGAGACATACACTCTGTGACAATGTACCTTTGTTTTTTTCAATAAAAATGAATGATTTTTTCATGAATCTCTTTAGTGAACATCTCATGTGTGTGAAATGCAAGATTTTACAGAGCAGTACAGGTGATAAAGATTGAAACATCTAAAATAAAATCCAAATTTGAATTTTTTGGACTCATGTTAAGTTGGTTGAAAAAAAAAAAAGAAAGAAAGAAGAAAGCATTAAAGACATGGAAGCATCTGTGACCCAGAACCATTATTTTGACCCCTGAAGATACAAGAAAATAGTACTCTGTGTTTCCTGGTTTGTTCTATGATCTCAGCGGTCACTGCGTGGGAAACAAACACATGTGGTTCAGTCATCCTTTGTGTGTGTGTGTGTGTGTGTGAGAGAGAGAAAGAGAAAGAGAAGAGAGGACAGATGATACAAATGATAAAGTTGCATGCTGGTGTCTGTATGAGAAAGACAGGAAGGACCGCTTTTAACCACAGATTATCATTTCAAGTGTGTGTGTGCGTGTGTGTGCGTGTGTGTGCGTGTGTGTGTGTGTGTGTGTGTGGATTTGACCTGATTTGACACATCAGTATAAACCAATCAAATCTGGTCATTTCCTTGTCCTCACTTTCTCCACCCTCTGCCGGGTTTTCTCATTCTCCTTCCGATTCTGCAAAAAAAGACGAGTTCATGCTGCATCATGTGATCAGTGGGGGGTATGCACTTGGAGTATTTAGTTAGTGTTCATGTTTTATAACACCAGACAGTAATGGATTTGGCACAAAGTGTGACATTTGTGTGTGTGTGTGTGTGTGTGTGTGAGAGAGAGAGAGAGTATTTAATCCCACTTAACCCTTCATCGGTTTATTGCTCTCATCATTATGAGTGAGACAGAATTGTGAGGATTTTTTGTTGCATTTTCTTTGACGACAGTGTGGCATGGCTGGACTCGTGGTCATTATCTGCATTCTGGCACATATATCTGAAAATGTAATGAATTTAGAGGCTGAGATTAACATGTGAGCATCATGCAACTGTACCATAGACCTGCAATGTTAAATCTGTTAAATAACGGTTGGATTTCAGTGACCAGTATTATCGTAATTGGAGAAATATTATGATCTGTTTGACATAAAGACTCCCATGTTTTAGCCTGCGTTTGTATATGAAACGCAGGTTCTGTTTTCAGCCACAAGAGGTCAATGTAGTGCCATGGGGTTGACCTACTCAGCCACTGGGAGAAGCCAAACCTTAATGGACAAGTTTCTTTCAGTGAAAGTGTCTGAACAGGATAATTAATTTGGCTTTAGTGATTTAGTTTCTCTATTTGCATTTCATTTAGGTAATAAACTCATGATGTGGTTCGTGTAAATATATAACTGGAAATTGGGCTACAATTAAAATCTATTTTGCTGTGTGGAACCACTGCTGTGTAGCTGTGTTTGCTGGCAGTGGTGTCTGACTTCTGACCTCACCTGCACATGGCTGCTACATTACTTAGGGATTTTCTTTAGGTGAAGTGAAGACAAATAATCAAATTAAACATTTTGTTATGCACACAATTAAAGTGATAGTAATCCATCAGCTGTAACCTTCCAATATAATCTGAGCCACTAAAACCATAGTAAAGGGGTTATGCTGTTATTCATACTTCTGACCTCTTTCAAAAGTCTCGTACAGCCATTACTTTGCAACTTCTTGGGAAGCCCTTAGAGTACACTCATTTACTGTAATGAAGCAGAGAGACAATTTAAATCTGGCACTGCTAAGTTTCTGGGTTAAAATAAGAGACTGTGCCTCATGTTTCCAGCCTTAACCTGCGGGATGAAAGAGCAAAGCAGTGTGGAGGTCTCTAACATGTTCCCTCCAGCCAGGTTTAATTCTTTCTTTTTTTTTTACATTTATAAAAGGGCTCAGTTGCCGTCACATTTTACAATCTTGTTATAGCATTGGCCCCTTGGATGTTAAATAGGCACTATATTATTTATACCAAGGCCAGACCAGTTAAGCCCACAAATGCTGATTTTTTAACCATGAACAGATAATGTATTCTGTATTCTCCAACCTTTAAGAGAGCTCTTTGTTAACCAGGGAATTACTGTATGTGCAATAGATGTACAGACACAATGATGATGATGAAACCATGATACGTGTGATCCAAGCTTTACTTTATGTAAATACATCTTCACATTCAGTAACATTTACCTATATGGTAGATTATTGTGACTGCAAAACAATTTTGAAAAACTTTTGCACTGATAAATATAAACTGAATATAAACTGAATTCAATATGTTTTTTCTCTTTTTAAAATAATTCATATGGGAGGAAGATAAAAGACTACTTATACATATTCTGTTGTTATAGTTAGATGGTTGACCAATGCCCCAGTCAATATTCAGTAAAAGACATTGTTACAGTTGTTTATGTTTTCTTTCATTAGATAAGCAACGATATCTAAATAACATGTAATTTTTAATGCAACATAATATGGGCTCTGGTAACAAACTGAACTTTTACACTCATGTAAAGCTCCCTCAATAGCCTCCCTCCGTGGCTCAACCTCTCAACCCTCCGACTGATGCCGAACCAAGCCGAAGCCCGCCGACCACGACGTCAGCATATCTCGTTCTTTCGTTTTTCGCCTGCTGCGTGCGAAGGAGAGAGAGGAAAAAACGGCTCTCAGCAAAGCAACAAGAAGGAAGAGCAATGGCGACACTGGATCGCCAAATACCAAGTCCGGATACCTTCCTTTGCGAGCCTTGGTCTTCCTTCGTCAGTGCGGCTAAATTACGTTTTGTTGACAGTAAGTTCGCACGTCGGTAACGTTGTTGTTTTTGCTGACAAACTGTCGGGAAGTGCGTGGTCCAACTGTCTGTGATTGAGTTGAGTAAGCTCCTCCACCATGCAGGGTCTGTCAAAGCGCAGCAAAGTAACTGTCAAAAATATTACTACCAAATGCAATATTATCAGGCTGCTCTGACAGCCGTGCACAGGCGAGAGGGCGAAGCGAACCGTTACCGTGCAGAGTTTGTACCGTTGACGCGTGCAGTAATAATATCTTCAACTGTCCAGCTGTAAGTTTGTTAGCTTTGACAGCTCCACTTGATTTAGGAAGCCAGCTCGGGCGCTAGCAAGCTAATGCTAAACGGATAGCCAGCTTCAGAACCAGCATGGCTCCACGCATGGCCCCAAAGTTTGTTGTGAATGCTCCTTTGTGTTTGTAAGTGGCTCTTTTCGTTCATTCAGACGCAGACTCCTCCTTGGATAACAGCGACAAAGAGCTTTGCTGCCTCGGTGAAGCCGTGAAGCTCAGCAAAGAAGGTAAGGAAGTTGTACTACTCGACACTTAACGAATGTCAGGCACAAGGTGATGGTTTGTTATTGTTGTGGTGCACATGCAGTTCACCATTAAGGAAGTCAGAATATGTTTATTTCAAACCACTTCTCTCTTACCATCACTGCGGCTACATTAATGCTTTTTTTAAATACATACTCTAGGTGAGATATAAGCATCTGCATTTGAAGGGGGGTGGGGAAACATAACCTGCTATGAATGTGTCTGCATTACCAATTTTTATTACAGTATACATCCTGTACTTAGGGTAGAAATTAATGATTATTTTCTCCATTAATCAAATGATTTAGAATCTACAAAATGTCAGAAAACTGTGAAAAAATGCCCATAATTAATAATATTTTCCCAGAGCCCAAAGAAATGTATTCAGATTGCTTGCTTTAATAGAACAACAAAATTCAGTTTGCTATAATATGTGACAAAAACAATCATCAAATCCTCACATTTAAGAAGTTGAAACCAGATATTTGACATTTTTATTTGAAAAATGTCTAGAATGGTTCATTAATTATGTAAAATAGTTGCCAGTTAATTTCTGGTAAGCACCATTTGTAGTCTTCCAACATTAGATCCCCCTGGCCAGGCAGGAATACCTGAAATATAAAATATACAAAAAAGGCAAAGATGGAGCAAGTGTTAGGTGATGTATTAGGTACTCATTAATAAAAATGACATCAGTGGTTGAAGTCCAACTGTGGTTTAAAAAAAAAAAAAAAAAGATGTTGGGTTTGTAAAACCTAGTACTGCTTAAGTGTCAACGTGAAAAGAAAATCCATTTTTCAATACTGCTCCATAATACTTTCAAGTAAAAACTATTTCCCAGGGGGGATCCAAGGTGTCAGTAATATTATTTTTAGTTAAGTGGTACATTATCAGCAGCAGTCAACTAGAAGTGCTTGTGCTGGGAGGTGTTTTGGTATATTTCAGCCATAATTCAGAGCCTCTTCAAAATGAACTTTACCTAAGTATCCAGCTGGTGTACGGCTAAAATATGTCTGATAGTATCTGTTGGTTGAGTTGCACGGGTTCTTGTTTAAGAATACCATATGTATTACGTGTCAGTGTATGTGTAGGGGGATTGTGGGATGCCCCAAAGCAGTGAGTGGGTACCTCCCCCCTCCCAAGCTACCCAGGGACAGGGCCAGAGGAGTTCCTCCACACCTCACTGCGTATAAATACCCACAGGAGCACGCGGTGCACACTAACACGCTTGAGTCATCCCTGAAAGTTTGAGCGTGCCGCAGTCCTCGTAGGAACATACTGACACACACACACACACACACACACACACACACACACACACACAGCCGGGGAAACTCTTCTCACTCTCACCGGTCAAATACCGACCTCACCCCCGTCCCACACACAAACACACACACACTCACTCACTCACATGCTGCATCTTCCTCTCTCAGAGCCAGACTGAAGCTGTGTTTCCAGAATCGCTGATCTCCTGGCAACATGACACTAAGGCCTGCTGAGAGTGATATGCACACACGCACACTCAGAAACCTACAAGCCTAATAAACACATCTTTAATGCTTTATTTGTAAATTTGTATCTAGCAGAAAGTAGAGTAATTCATTGACGATTCATATACCGAATGTTTTACTCACGTTACACCTCAGTGCACATGCATATTTGTAGATGGTGAGGCCTGGTTGGCAGTAATTGATGTGTGGTGCGGGTCATGATTAATATCTATGTCTCTTTCTCACTCTCACCCACATACACACAGTGGAGATGATGACAACCAACAGCAACTCAGCCTGACTTGACTGGCAGCCACTGTCATCATCCCACTAGAAATAGGCAGTGCTGCTATTTGTATGTTTGCTCTACTCTCTTTAGAAGGGATGGGAATCATCTGAAATATGTTAGCGATTCTGTAGGATTAATATTGGTATGTTTCTGAGTGTATCATTAAAAACAGACAGTTGAGATAACAGCGTGTGGCCTAAGACACAAGTATGACGAGGACATCTCTGAGAAATGTGCTTGGGAGGATAAATGCACTGAACTGCAGGATGCATCAGACACAAGGGAATATTCCACATTGTGCAGGCTTTGGCACGATCCTGCTGGCAGTACATGTGCTCTTTTCCTCTGATGAGGGTTTGAAAAATCTCTTGTTATCTAGCAGACTCCTCAAAATTAGTCATTTAGTAAATGGGGTATTGTTGTCGCATTTAAATAGTTTGAGCTAAAATTAGTCACATTAGCCCGTCAAGCCTGGAATACAGTCCAACAACGTGATATTAACAGGTTTTCTTTATCTTATGTCATGGTAAACTGAGTATCTATGGCTTTTGCATCCTGGATTGGACAAAGACAACATATTGAAGATGTTACCTTGGACTGCAGAACATTGTGAATGTGAAAATGTTTTATTTATTTATTTTTGACATTTTGTAGACCAAACAGTTAATCAAGCAACATAAAAAGAATCTGCAAAATAATCTGTTTGTTCTGCCCCTAAAAACAGGAATCGTAGCATAGTTTGGAATAAGAACAGTATGACAATAAAAGAAGTAATTGAATCAAAACGCCATGGCGCCATGTAATGGTGTCCCTGGAAGGAGTTCAGTTTTCACCCCGGCTTTTATGTTGAGCCAAAATCATTACCTGATGATCAGGGGAATCTGAGTGTGAAAATATTGTACAACGAAAAACCTTTGATAAGCTGAAACTTTATATAGCAGTGAGTATTTGTTCTTAGCAGGCAATCATTTTGGAGGAGTATCTTTAAACGTTCCTCATCATAACACAGCACGTTTGTTCAGTGTCTTCGTATGACATGCTGTGTTTACAGCTTCATTGTGAACAGATTTACTCACAAAATAGTTTAAGTCAACCATTTGTGGGCGCTCACTGATGGTCTAACTCTCTTTAAAGGGCCTGGTACTGTCTTTATACAGGATCCTAGAACCATTAAGATTCTAAAAGTTAAAGCCAGATTTCTATCTGGGACTTTTTTTTTCATAACAAAAGAGAGACTTGTTGAGTTTGTAGTCTGGGTTCTGCAACATTAGCTGCCAGCCAATCGCTGTTGTTGTAAGCTTGTTTACTTTATCAGACAATTTGCTGCGGTTCCAATAATTATCTGGTGTGCCTGCTCAAAAACACAACTTCAGTTTAAACTGTTGCCCGTGCCCTCCACGGGAACTGTACTTTAGGAGCACAGTGATTATTGAAAAGTGATGCCTAGCTCCAAGATATCCCCTAAACTATTTGATTGTAGGTCATTTACTCATTCAATTTGTTACAATTGCATTATTACTTTGGTGTTCGTCAACCAGCAGCAACAAGTCAATACTGAGTTGCTATCAAACTCTTTTATTTACCAGTAAGTTTGTTTAAGTCGCTTTCCAAACACTAATTCACCAATGAGAAGTTGATTTACTTATTCTAAATGTAATCGGTGTCCAGTGATAGATTGTTTTAGGAGCTCCAAACATGCTTATTCACCAGTAAGTGATTGTTTTTGTAGTTCATTTTCTGGCCTGTCAGTCATTTGGCAGACTCTGGCAGTTGGCTTGAGATGAGCACATACACTCACACACACACACACACACCCACACACACACACACACACACACACACACACACACAAAATTCAGGCTGCAGAAATAGGCTACGCACTTCGTTTGCATTTGGCTTGGCAGATGCAGAGGAAATTGCATTCTTGCTCTTTTTTTTTTCAGTTCTCCCACTTAAGTCCTTTTCTGTTACTGTAAACCTTGGGATTTGCCATTTGCCAGAAAAGAAGTTTTTCCCATCAGAATTTACATTTTTTTTTGGCTGGACCTTGTTGATAGTTTATAATGAAGAAAATGTGCTCATTTCCTCAGAGAGCGATGACAGGAAAGACACAAACTGTGGTGATGCTGATCAGCTCTTTGAACTGAAACCACTTGGCAGGCGCAGCTAACCTGTCAACAGACTCTCACATTACAAATTTATTAATCCTTACCACTTAAAAAAAACATTTTGACTGCTATAACAATGTTTTAAAAAAAAAAAGTTTTTCAAACTCAGCCACACCTTTCCATTCGTGTCTGCATTATCATAGCCCTGCATCACACCACCTTCAGCTACGCCTGAAAAACAAACACTGCAGTTTATTTGCAAGTGAAGGAAAAGCAGTTCTTTTGGTCAGCAAACGCAGGAATTGGAAGAGTTGGAATCGCAGCTTTAATCCAGGAGCATGCCTAGAAATGATGGCCAGGGAAAGTGAGTGAGAAATAATCTCCTCTTCCATATTGACAAGGTGAACTTGGCAAAGCATCTTAACGTTAACTGCTTCAGTGCAGCTGCTCAGCAACTGATAGGAGGGCCTTTCCCATTGCAGTATTAATCAGATGTACTCGATCTTGCTTGTATTTTATGCTAATATTAGTTTTATTTTACTGCTTTGGTTAATACTATAGTGCCCTAGCTTTAATTTAGTTTCATTACTCTTCAGTATTTACTTACCAGTAACCTTCAGTCAGTATTAACATAACTCTTAGGTCATGAAATATACTCATGACAGGCTCAATATGTATGTGGCCTTGAAAACCTCATGTATGAGTGATGAAACCAGGTCTCACACACACACACACACACACACACACACACACACACACACACACACACACACACACACACACAGGACTCAGACTCAGCCTGTCACACACTCACAAGTGTCATGTTCAGCATCACGCACATGCTGAGTACATATACGTATAATATACAACACTTCGACCTTGAGTGACCAAGCAGATCCTTTTTCCTGCTCTACACACACACACACACACACAGGCACACGCACACACTCATGGACACTAAGCATGACTGCCGGGCTCTTTAGCTTTCCAGATGACCCAGATCACAGCAAGCTCACCAGCAATGTAAGGTCACGACGACACGTACCCGTACACTATCAGACGCCCACACATTCTCCAATATGTTTTTTTTGTTTTTTTTTGTGTTTTTTTTCCACGCAGGCTTTCACAAACACACACATCCACACACATCCCACCTCCCTTCAGTGAGTCTGGCTTAAGCCCTGTGCTAATAAGTGCTGTGATTTCTGTCAGCAGAGCTTGTTTGGGTACAGGAAGATTAGGTTCTCAAAGCTTAGCTGAAAGAGATAATAGCTGTTTTCCATAGGACATATTTGTTTTTTTTTTCAATATTTGTATTAATCTTCAAATTCTGTTGAGTGGGTGGAGTATCTTTTGTAAGTCTAGGCATTATGTAGCCACATGCCTGCTAGCACACTGTGTAGTAGCTAGTGTTTGAGTTGTCCGTCTGTGGTAAATTGTTAGTTTTTGCGAGTAATAATGGTGACTTAGGTATTAGCATCCCTTCAGAGGTGACATATTTTAGAGCCTGATGAAGCCTCCAAAGCTAAATGGTAATACTGAACACCATGCCATTAAATATTTCACTGTTTTACAGCTGAAACAGTTAGTCACAATCAATTATTCAATCAACAGAAAATAATAAATATATAATAGCAAACCAAACTTTTCCAAGTTCCAGTTTCTCTAATGTAATAATTTGCTGTTTTTTGTCTAATGTGATGGTAAACCGAATACCTTTTGTGTTTTAGACTTTTAAGCCTCAATTATACTCCCTTGTGGATACGCACACGGACAGCTGCGGAAACCATAGACATGTAGTTGTTGTTATTATACTATTTATTTTCTTGTCCACTTGGAGTCTGTATAAGCAGTTGGAGCCCTTGTAGAATAAATTGGAGAAGAGGCAGTTGTCACAGAGCGTCGTGTACACCCTCTGATGATGACATTTGATGTGGAAAATATGACTCTAGCCTTAGTCGGGCAAAACAAGACATTTGAAGACATCATGTCCGGCGTTATGAAATTGTGATTCTCACTTTCTGACATTTTTATGGTCCAAACAATTAATCAAGCAATCTACGAAGTAATTTGCGGATTAATTGATAATGAAAGTAATACCAAGATTCAGCCTTTAACTGTTTTCAGCTGTTGAATGCTTTGAGAAATACTTGTGACCTACAGGTAAATGAATTTGAAATGTTGCTATAGGATGTGGAAGTGCTGGGAGACCTTACCTCTTAAAATGACAGAGAAATAGATAATCCATGATTACCTAGAGGAGTTGAACATTTTTCCAGAAATATAAGATGCTTTCACTGCTACTAATTGTTTTTCAGTATGTAATGTATATATTATACGTTTATGAATCTGCAACCTTATTAGCACTTTGTACTGTTTAAAGGAAAGCATCTCCATTTTTGCAAAGCTGCTGCTGTGTTCATCCCTGATAATGATCTGTCTTTGTGTGTCTCCCCTAGAATTATGTTTCCTCAGGCGGATTTGTCTTTTTTTTCTAACTTGTGGTCTCTGCTCTTCATGTCTGTTTCAGAGATGTTTGTCTATAGCCAGTTTCCAGCACTGGAGGATTTTTCTCTTGTTGTCTGCCATGTCTGCAATAAGGTGGTCACTCCTCAGGGCATACTCACGCACTATGGTAAGACACACACAGTTACCCCTCAGGGCATAGTCGTATACATCAGTAAGGTACATACACACTCGCAGACATAGACGCACACCTCGAGGTGTGTACAGTTGTCACACAGAGGCACAGAGCAAACATATTCATTCACACACACACACACACACACACACACAGAGCCAATTAGATCAGTGCAATAATTTCTATTTATTCCTGCAAGTCACTTTAAAACACAAACTTCTTATCGCCCACATGAACGAATACCACATGGTTATGCTCTCAAATACCCAGCAGTCTCCCAAGAGCTGAAAAACACTAAATAATTTACAGAATAATCAACCAGATGTAGCATTGCGCACAAAGCTTTTTTATCCAATAAATAACTATATGAAAAAAGAGCAATCTCTGCTGTTAAGATAATGCTGCGCTGCTTTGAATATAGGCTAATTTTTCTTTCTAAGCAGCTCCTGTGCTCTTAAAAGATGTGCAGGCAAACGGAAGATTTGACAGGCTGATGGGCCGATTTAAAAAATGAAAGTATACTCCCATATGTTAAACCCCTGGCTGCAAAGGCGCTTCTTTGCTGCTGAGTTTTTACCCAGGGCTGGAAAATGTTGAACAGTTAATTTGAAAAGGGAAAGTTGTTGAAAAGCCAATGATATACACATACACTGCTAAGCTGTATATGCTTTTTACACATCTTAGCTTACCATTATTTCATAACATGTTGTTTATTTGTTGCTATGGAGACCGTTATCTATAGCTATGAAATTTAATTCAGTTGGCTCCTCTTACACTTTTAAATTCTTATACTTTTAAATGTCAAAAATCTAAATCCAAATTAGCAAAAGTATGGATTGAAAATATGTGGGAAGTCTGCTGTATCCATTCATCTTTAAGAGTATTTGTCGTTGACATGGTAGCACAGGAGAACCCGGCTCTCATTGGTCCTTTCTCCTGTCTGTCTACCTCTTGTTTGTTTTTGACTGTGGCTCCACTGAGCGCGCTCACTCCGGCCCGCGAGCTGTTGCTTCCTTCTGTTGGCGGCACGTGCACCAGCCTGAGCCGTCTGTTTGAGCGGGCGGACGAGCGGGGGTGGGGGTGGTGGTGGTGGTGGTGGTGGCAGATAGACACATGATCACGCTTAATGAACACGCACACCGACTTACACACACACACACACACACACACACACACACACACACACACACACACACACACACACACACACACACACATGCTGCTTCTCCCTGAGAAGAGAGAGGCCAGAGGAGTTGCATGCACACACACTCTCACTTTCTGTTTCTCAGCAGAAAGAGGTCAGTGGTATTGTGAGACACACACACACACACACACACACACACACACACACACACACACACCCATACACACACTCCTGGCAGCCGCTGTTGTTTTGTCCCTACTTTTGCCCCCCCCCCATCCTCCCCTTTGTTGGCAGCATTTCTGCCTGCTGACACGCACACAAAGTCGGATAACAACAGGTCTAAAACACACACACAAACACACACACACACACACACACACACACATTCAGCAGTGGGAATCTCCTGAGAGCTCCCCATAAAACAAAACAGTCCTCGGGCCACAATATGATAAGCAGTCGTTGTAGTGGACCAGCAGGCCCAGTCACATGCTGACTAGTAGAAAAGTTGTGTTGAATTGTTTTCATCTTGTTTCATCATATACTTTTATGTTTCCAATCATTTTAACGGTAGTGCAGTGACCTAGAAGTCGTACTTTACCACCGCTATAGCTGATTCATTGACTTCATTCTTAAATTTGAAGCATTTTAAGGCCCAACTACTCTGTGTCATGACATGAAAAATGCTCCTCCTGACCTCTGCTGAGTGGGTTGCCTCTTGGCCCTGTCAAGATATTCTTATGATGTTTTATGCATTTCCACCCATTGTTGCATATCCCCATCATGTCACTGTAGTATCCTCACAAGTGTAGTGCCATTGTTCCCTGCTAGGGATTCTGCTTTAAATGTTGTGACCCTGAGTAGCATTTTTATTCATCACGCTGGCCTTGTATTTGTGTTTGTGCACGTATCCATCATGGGATCTGCTTTCATGCTTGACCTGTGCATCAAATCAGCACTGGGGTTCTACATACACAGAAATGCATGCGCGCACACACTCGCACAGACACACACGTAGAAGAGGAGGGGGTTGGCTGCCTCGGGGGTCAGTGGCTCCTTGTTATACATGCCCAGTTTGCTGCTGAGCTTTGCTGTGTGTGAAGAAGAGAGTGGTCATAACTTAAAGCTAGGTTTAATATATGCTAAGTTTGCTGTTCCAAAAGGTTAAGATATTTTTTTTACATCAGAGACGAGCTCAATTTAATGGATTTGTTTATTTAAATCTCCATAGAGTAAGGGAAGCATTTATATTCTTAGCATAAGTGGTCTCAGCAGGATATCAAATAAATCCCTCATGGTGGCAGTGTTAGTGCCATGCTCTCTGCAAGGAGCAAAAAATGTGCAAAAAAATAGTTTTTAATGCTTGTGAGTGAACTTCAAAGCGTATTAAGGACAGATGAGCAGTTTTTATGATTTTACCACTCTGTTCATCAATTCATGATGTCATATTTTAGGTCTTTATAAGGGCTAGTAGAATTAATAGGAGTTAATTTCAAAGAGCATTTAATATGTTGACACTTTCCTGCCCTGAACACCATGACAAACTAGAAAATTTACAAATAATGGTTGGATTTTTTTTTTTTTTTTTTTTTTTTTTTTTTTTTTCTGTTTGTGCAGGTCATGCTTTTCAAGCTTTCTGTTTGGGTATATCAGTTCTCTGTGGCATATTCAGATATTTCAGTATATTCCTTCCAGTCCTCTCATCTACTATGATTTCTTCCCTCCACACTTCTCAGTCTGTCTCTCCTAACCTCTCCCTTGCTGGTGGCCTGCTGTGTGTGAGTAAGTGGAGCGCATGATGAAAGGGTCATGTTGTTGCTGTTGGTGGGAGTGTCTGTCTGTCTCTCTCTCTCTCTGCTCTCTGCCTTACAACTTTTCTCTGTAGTGGTGGATTAATTGAGGTCTGAGGCAGGTCAAAAAAAAAACCCTCAGCTTTCTTTCCATTTTCATTCCACTCCTAACTTAACAAGTGTTTGGGCTGGTTGGCGCGTCAGTGTCTTGAGTATTTTGTTGTTGCTGTAAAAGCGTGTGTGCCCAGGCTGTGGTGTAATTGTTCATTTCACATGTTCTTGCTGTTGTTGGAAGGTTGTGCCATTAACCACAAAAGTTCTAGTTAGTTTCTTTTTGCTGGTGATGTCGCTCATTCCTCTGTTGCGTTATTGTTATTGCAGCTTGGTTGTGTGTGAACCATTAGCTGAGGCTTGGGCCAATTAAAATGCCAGCAGCTACTGTACATCAGAAGCAGTTTTCTTTGTTCTTTCTGAAGTATTTTAGGCATGAAAATAGCTTGCATGTGACATATTTCATAAAGAGAGAGGAAGAGCAGGTGATAGCTGAAGGCTCCGTCACTGAGCTAGTGACTGAGAACTAAGCAGGCCTAATAGGTTGTGTTCAAATGGATACACAATAGATCCCATACAACATGTAAGCATGAGAAGACAGAAGAAAGCATGCTGCTGTTACCAGTCCTAGCTGCATATTTCAGGGTTTTTTAATGTAATTATTATTTATATATATTATCAATAGTTATTTCTTATTTTTTCTGTTTTTGCTCAATTCAAAATGAATATAGTTACTGTAAATGTTGCCTTAACTTTTATGTGGCAAGCTGTTATAGGACCTGGGACTCTCCTCAAGGAATCCCAGTTTCATGGCTCCAAGTTCCCACTTGGGGAATAGAGTATAGTGGATGAATGCCACTGCTCCATTGCTTCCGATATACTGTTGTTTTCCCTGCTTGCTGTTTTCTGACTCAGTGCTTATAGATAACCTGTGTGTCTGTGGATCCTCGTAGACTTTTCTTTTAATTTCCTCACACGTCTCTCTCTTCCTATGTCCCCTGCTGCTCTCTCAATGTAAACAAAGCCAGCTGAGCTCTGAGAGCCTCTGCTTCCTCACCAAGCGATAGCTCCACCCACAGGATGAGTCAGCAGCCAATTGGCAGCCAGCTGGGCTCTCAGCATTGCCATAACGACAGGCAGGCAGGAGAGCATAGTAGTGAGGGTGCCCTTGTGGTTGAGTGGCTTCGTGACCTTGCCTGGGCATTCGTCCATGTATTGTAAATCAGTACGGTTAGCTCCCACCCGGCTCCTTACTCACTGCATGAGTTCTGTTTCTAAATAGAATATATCTGTCTGTTTGGGTGAAAAATAAGTTGTTGATCATTCATTATGTCTAACTACACAAATAGATATACTAGCTGTCAATGGATCAATTATTTTATTAGCCAAGAATTTTAGATGTATTTAATTATGTTGTTTTAGTTTTACTGTTATAAAACCAAAACGTATCAAATCAGCACCTTAACTTTTACTTTTGTTGCAGATGTTCTTTTTACTCAAAGTGTAATTTTGGAACAACTTGGAACATTTTTCCAAAAAAATGTTTGATCTTGTATTAAATAAAAAATGAACAGGAACAGGAATCCAAAAACAACAAAGAAAACAAAGTACAGAGCTTGAATAGATGGTCAAGTCACAAGGACAGGGTGTATTTCCCTTAAGCACAAAGGCACATGTGATGTCATATTTCTTCAGATTTATTTTTTACCTTTATACATTATGTCTGCTGTACAACTTCAATGAACTGCACAAGTGAGTCGACTAAAATGTTGTGTGTCAAATGTGTGAACTGTGTGAAATAATGTCTGATTTAAAGTGTGAGATGTGTGCTGTTTTAGCTGCATACCTGTGAATGTGGCTCTGGACTTTGATCCTGCTGCTCTGAATACAGCTGCCTCCCTGGTCCTCTGCTTCCACTGGCCTATTTACACACCTGCCACACATGCTCACATACGCAAATTATGCTCTTGCATAGCATTATTATATACATACTGCACCTAGACACGTTCACACTCTGCTCTGCAAACATATTGCTGTACATACAGCCTACACCTTGGTCAAAAAAACGTGGTATCATATCCACACACACACACACACACACACACACATACACACACCCCTATTATACTTATGCATGCAGTGACTAATCTCTTCAATACACACACACACACACACACTTTGCACACACATTGTAAACACACTCTCCCTCAGTCACCTGCAGCCCACTTTCATGTGCACTCATGCACTCTGAGAAAACACACAGTCGCTCTGCCCAGCTCTGTTGTCTAAATGTGCTGCCGTCAGTTTCATATTACTACACTCATTAACAGCATCGTACAGCCTTGTGACACACTTACACACACATACTGTACAATCCCTAATGCTGCTTACTGTATTAAGTATGACATCAGTTCTACCGTGGTCAGTAGTTTGATTTATACTTGGGACACCCTACTTAAAATTCTATTACATGTATTCTGTAGCACTTTAATATCAACAAATATGAATGTACTTTCTGTGTGTGTGTGTGTGTGTGTGTGTGTGTGTGTGTGTGTGTGTGTGTGTGAGAGAGTTGTTGTATTAGGGAGTTGTGTTAACTTGACCTTGGCTTGCACATATCACACTCTCTGTCAAGTATTATAAGGCAGAGCCTGAGAAAATATGTGGACACTTGAGTTTTGAATATTAGTCTGTGTAATCATGGCTCCGTCTATTTGCGTACATGTGCAGTTGTATACATGTTGTGCACATTTTTTTTAATCATGAAATATACTGTACACTGTAAGTAACTTTTAAATTTAGTCTATACATTCTACCTGAGCTACCGGAGCTGAGGTATATATATGTATATTTCACTGCTCCCAGCAGTTTCAGATTGGCATCTTATCAGGAGACAGGAAGTTCAGCCAACCCCAACGGCCAGTATCATCCCAAAATTAACAGCTGCCTTTCACCAACTTATCTGTCAGTGAAATCTTGCTAGATCTTGCAGATGTTTGTTGTTTACCTCCCGAAGCAGCAGGTGAGAGAAAGGCGTGACATTACACCAAATTTGTATACTCATTATCAGCAGGTCAAAATACTGTCTTACTGTGTGTGCAGTGTGTTTTCCCCACTTTGTTCCTCTGTGTTTATGACGTCTTCACCCCTCTGTTTCCATTCAGGTAGCTGGGGTGTAGTTTCCTTGTGAGACAGACAGAGAGAGACAGACAGCCCCGGACCACCCCCCCACCCCCCCCTACTCCCACAAAGACATGCATAGCAAAAACCGTAAGTGTGAGCTCCTCTCCTACTCTCTCCCCACAGCCTTGTGATTTATTCCCCTTCTCGTTTCCTTCTGTGTCTCCGCATCCTTTCACTCATGTATTCTGATCAGATCTGGGTCAAAAGGTATTTATAACTGTTGGCTCTTGTTTGAACTTCACATAGTAACAGATTGGTGGAGTTCATCACACAAGGACACTTCAGATGGTGTCGGGGAAGCTGCTAATTAGAGAAAAGTACACTTAAATGATTTGTAAATACTTGATTCTTTTTTGTAAAAAAAGTTCTGGCATAAATTTGCTCTCTCTCGTGTTACAACACAACCATCTGGCACCTAAGCAGTGTAAAAGAAAAAACACAAGTTGGTGTAAATACCACTCTGCAGTACACTCAGAACTAGACTCAGGTGCTAATCAGATGCAAATCAGATTCGAAAAACTACCCAGATACAAAAAGTACCCGCTAGCAATGCATGATTGTGTGTTTGATCTGTTAAGAGTGTGTTTTGGTGTGTCATGCATCTTTGTGACCTCAGACGTCTTACAGATCCTTATCCTTACCTCTGTCGTAACCTGTTTCAGAGAAGCGCCACGGCTCCCCCATCCCCTCCAGGAGCCCCCTGGTCCCCATGAAGCCCAAAGCCCCTGCTGTGGCCCCCGCTGTGGCCCCTAGTCCTGGGGACACGCTGGCCTTCAGGGTCCCTAAAGATTACCCTCACTCCCGCTTCAGCAAGGCGCCACTTGCTGTCTATCCACCAAAGGGAGCACGGAACAAGACATGGTGGGTGTACGCTTAGTGCCGCTACACACTTCTCCCAAAGCATTAATTTAGTCACACAATCTTTTAACACCATCTCTTCTCCCTCCATCTCCCCAGCGTATCGCTTCCAGTCGTAAGCCTAGAGAAGATGCCCTGCCTAAGCCGAACAGACTCGGCATCACATGTGCGCCTCACCACCTCCTCCTCTGTCTCCCCTTCTTCCCTCAAACCTCCATCCCTCACTCCCCCAGCCTCCCAACGCTCCAACGAAAAGCTCATGAATGGTCGCGGCAGCAGCGGGCCGCCCACGCCACGCTCTACCACGCCTCCATCCTCGTTGGAAGGGCGGCCCAGTATGGCACGCTCTCCGCTGGATAGACGGCCGTCGTCTACACCCTCTCCTTCCCCGCTGGATCGGAAACCCTCCCTGTCACCTTCACCCTCTCACCGATCTGGCGCGATGCCATCATCATCATCGTTGCTGTTGTCGCCGACGGTGGAGAAGAAGCACCAGAATGGGACTAAAACTTCCTCCAGGTCGCACAAAAGACTCTCAGGTTAGTTTTGAGAAATTATGGCCATTCCAGACTGCACTACTGCTGACTAATGGCAGGAGTTGGAGTCTAAAGAAGTGAAGAACATTTAATAATTTATTCCTTTTTCCTGCCTATGTTTTCATGGCTGGTTTAGGGCCATCAACTTTGAGCCTTCAACTTACAGGTCACAGACCTTGAGTCGGTAACTTTTAGCCTGCTAACATTCATGTGCTAGAGGAGTTAAATATCTCCACCTTTGCTACATAAATTCCTTCCCTCAGCATTATAAAAATATTCCTATGTTAATACATGTTTTCATACACTCTCACAAGCTCACACACTCACCATTTCTTATCTCCGTATCCTTTGGAGAGCTTCCAGCCTGAATGTTTGGCTGCAGACAGGACAGTGGTAGGGTGAGACTGTGTGTTTTGGAAAGGGAGAGGCGCCTCTCTGTAGTTTTTAATGGCTTTCTTTCCCCTGTTTTCTCTGTTCTTCCACTATTCTCTTGATATTTCTCACTTTTTCTCTTCTTTCTCACTCTCTCCTCCGCAGTCTATCATTGTTTTCTCAGTCTACCTTCCAAACTTTATTTAAATCAACAGGGATACGTAGGAGTTAATCTAGCGGTCATCTCTAACTAACAAATGTGAAAACATGCAGAAGAATGAAGTTGAGATTTATGATGGATGCTTCAGGGTGTGGATGACTCTCTATCCAGCTTTTCGTCTTCTTCCCGTCCTCATGCCGCTCCTCTTTCTCTTCGTTTGTGTTGTGTCTCGCTGTGCTCCAAGCCTCTGATTTACACCCTCTAATTCACAAGCTCCCGCTGCCAAAAAGCTGCTCGTCTTCTTGAGAGATTTTCCCCACCTCCTGTGTCTCTGTATTTTTTTTTATCCTCTCACTCTCCACTTCCTGCCTCGACCTCCTCTTCTCTCTCACACACACTCTATAATATTCTGTCCTAATTTTTTTCTCTCACGCTCTCTCCATCTCCTAGTTTCTCTCTGGCTGTCTCTCACTGCTCATCGGGGTCTTGTTTCTCACTCATCTTTTTCTTCTGATTTCTGTGTCATTTGGTTTCCCTTTCTCATCAGTGTCTTCCTTCAGAATGTGTTCGCACTACCCGTCTTCCTCTCTCTTGTCTCAACTTCCTGTCTAAGTTTGTGTGTGAACTTGTGGGTGAGCATATGAGTTTGTTTATTTCTAAGAGGCATGTTTGTTGCTGTCGTACATTTGCGTGTTTGTCTTTCCACCCGTATCCATCGGAGCTGTCGTCTCATTCTGCAAACACTTAAAGATTACAGGGATTATAGCGAAGGCCAGCGCGAGATTACAGCCCTGTGACAGCACAACACTGTTTAAGATAACCTGCTGACTGGAGGTTGTTGTTGGTCGGCTGGTTTGTGTGCATCTGTGTTGCTGAGCAGTACTCTTGCCTTTTATAACTCCATAGAAAACTGACAAGTTTAATTTGAAACGCCTGCATGACTGAAGTTAGATTTGACATCTATCAGTTGAACCAGGATGTGAAATTATTTTCACTAGAAAGTACTATAAAATTAAAATGATACATTTATTATTTTATTATGTATTCAAGAAGAAAATGTTGTTTGTTTTATAAATTAGTTTTCTGCGTCCGGCTTTAGTCTTATTTCAGGGACAATAATTCATTCACCAACTTCATTGCTGAGATGCAAGAACTCAGCAACTTTGCTGACACAGCTTTACAATGGTGTCTGTTATGGCAAGCAAGTTTTAAACAAGGGGCTGAATATCATTATTCATTCATTATTCATATTATTCATTCATAAGTTCCTGTTTGCGAAAACAGTCTTCAGGTGGGTTTGTCACCATGAGGACACCTTTTACATAAGTGAAGTCCGTTCATACATTGTTAATATAAAAATATTGATTACAGCAGCTTTGTTTGGTGTCAGCTGTTGTGTTGACCCTTAAGAAGCCCCTTTGCTATCTTCTTATTTGAGACATTTTGGCACATAAAAGAGATTTTGTCTTATTTCCAATAAACAACAGAGACTTTAGCTGCAAGTTGACACAGTCTTAAAAGTTGAGTGTCGCATTTCATCGTCAGGCACATTTTTCCTCCAGATTCTGTTCATTAAAGCAGGAGAGAGTTTCCTGGGCTGTCAGTCACAGCTGACTCTTGTCAGGCTGCCAGTTCGCCCTGTCAGGAATGATTTGTCACAGCACGAGGGATCCGCATAGTTTGTGTTTGATACTGGAAGCATTACTAATAATGTCACACAGAATAATAGTATTAAACTATGGTGGCCTCGCACCACGATGAGTGATTGATTGAGTAAAGGAATATGTGAATAGACAAATGCCTGAGTGAAGTGCTGTCTCAAAAAAGGCAAATTAATGCACTCATGGTACTATAACGCTTCCACTCCCAGGAAATGTGATTTGATACTTAACTAAATTATGGCCTTTTGGTACCACTTCAATGTGTGTGTGTGTGTGTGTGTGTGTGTGTGTGTGTGTGTGTGTGTGTGTGTGTTTGTGTGTGTTTGTGTGTGTTTGTGTGTGTTTGTGTGTGTGTGTGTGCATGTTTTACAGGGAGAGTGTTTGATCCTAACAAGCACTGTGGAGTCCAGGACCCAGAGACTAAACGACCCTGCACGCGGTCTCTCACCTGCAAGGTAACACAAATAAACACACGCACACACACACACACACGCTATCACTCACGCTCACCACCTCTGTGTAATTTCTGTGGAGACAATAATAGCCGCTGACCCTTCTTCCTGCTTCCTGTGTGGGGCTGTCTCACCAGGAAAGCAGCTTTGTTTGTTTATGAGAGAAAAAATATTGAAGGGCGCACTGACATCAGTGCTGAAGGGCTGAAACTGCAGCTATGACCCTGTTTGCCTCCCTGACCCTGTCTGTCTGTGATACGTCTGCGCTTTACACACATTTCTCTGTTAATGTTGGGTAACAGTGCTGGAGCATTATAGGGCCTACATTTCCCTTGATGAGGTAATTATAGATGTTGGGTGAGGCTACAACATCATTCAGCAGTAATAATCTATTTCACTGCCCTTTAATTACATCTAGCAAGCTTTACTAATCACTTCAAGCTGCTTATTAAGTAGTTAGAGATGTATGTAGTGTGCTGTTGTGATCTTATTTAACCTTGTTTTATACTGGTAGTTCCTATGAGAACCATGATTGCAAGACAGGGGCCTGGACGAGTTCTTTACTAAGGAAGTGACTCCTACCTCAGCCAGTATTTAAAAGAACTCCAGAGATGTCTTAACTTCTCAGGGTTGGGGTAAAGGGAATGAACGTTATGTCCTTGCACACCACAGTCCACGGAGGGTTTTTGCTGCACATACAGCACTGCGCAATACATATAGGCGTGGACGTAAGACAATGGGGTTGAATTGTGTAATGGCTTGCAAATGTATGTGAACATCGTATCGGTAAATAATATCATGAGATAAAGCTAATTATTTATTTTGGCATCATATTTTAGCATACGTGGCCTTGGTAGCTGTTTACTGAAGTTATTTGCCCATACACATAAAATCTACGCGTCAAAATGTTGTTTGTTTTCTGCATTTTCATTTTCTCTCTTCCACTAAACCGCAGTTGTTAGAAACCACAATATGTCAACATAATTTCTACTTTGCAGGTGTTGTAAAAGTGACGCCACACTCTGTCCTTGGAGTAGTCCTTCTCCTTGCTGAAATTAAGTGTAGATATCTCTCAAGAACATGAAGACAAAGTACAGGCATTTGTCTTGTTTTTGCTTCAGCTTTAAATTGGTGTCCTGCTACATTCAAATTCAGCAGTCAGGTAATTAATGATGGTGAAATAAGATGCATCTTCTGAGCCTTAAAGTGTTTAAAGAGCCCCCTACCCTTGCTATGACCTTTTGAATGAGTACATGAAGCATTTTTCTTTCCTCGAGCTGTACTACCTGCTTATACCAGTAATTCAGCAGCCTCAGACACACACATTATAAAGACCTATTGGAAAACCAAATGTTTGATGGCTGGTTACCCTCCAAAGTAGTTGGAAGGGTAGACGAGCTTACCATGCACAGGCAATATTTACCCATGTTAGTGTGGTGTGACGTGGGCAGCAGCATGGCGCAGTGATTATGGAAACTGAGCCATGATTCAAGCCCCTATGAGTGCAACCATCAGCCCTGTTAAAGTATGTTTGAGCAAAACTATGTGTTGGTCACAGATCAATACTTTATTTAACAAACTCTCTTACTCTTACTTTTTTTTTGTCCTGTGCTTTTCGTTAGACTCACTCCTTAACCCACCGCCGAGCTGTCCCCGGCCGAAGGAAAAACTTCGACACCCTACTGGCCGAACACAAGGGGCGGGCGAAGGAGAAGGACGGCGCGAAGGAGAAGGAGAAAGACAGAGACGGAGCGCAGGGAGGGAAGGAAGGCTGCGGCCACAGTGTCACGTCACAGGAGATTCCCGGCAAGCCTCACTGCCCTAATGGACGACCCCTGTCCACGCTGAAGCTTCGGCTGGCAAATGCGCACATACCCAGGTCGGACAGTGGACCGACACACACACACGCACGTTATTAATTATGCATGTGTATATGGAAGCAAAGAAAGGCCTTAACATTTTAATCATAAAAGCTTTAATGCCATAAACACCCGATTAACCAACTCTGAAATTAATCATTTTGGGATACTTGATGTTGACATTCAAATATCACTAACTGCAGACCATTGATATATTTTACTTTATAAACAATCTGTCTGGATTTATGTCAAGTGGTACGATTTCAGAAACCTTTTTTTCCCACCTGTTTGCTTTCACAAATTCAAACATTAAAGTGTCCAATATTCAAAAAACTAAATTCAAGTTCATGTTGTCAGTTTTCAGATAAAAAAAACAGTCAGGTTATATCTTCCATATATGTTGACTGTTGCTTTATATTTATTCCAACTAAGCTACAACCTGAGAGATAAGAATTGAACGGGTAAAAAATGAAGATTGATTTTAAGAGTTTAATTATTTTTGGTACAGTTTTCCAGCAGATTTTGTAGTTCTTTGTATCCTGTTTCTTTATGGACATTGACTTTTTCTAAGCTTAATCTGTATTCATAAGGAAAAGGAGCATTTCCTGGACAAAAGTCAATTTTCTTTAATATTTAATTAAGAACAAATTACATTTATTTAGTTTTTTCAAATACTTTAGTACTCATTATACCCAATATTGTAAGACATTTACTGTGGTTGTTTTGTAGACAATGGCTTTTTCTGTGATGTATCTATACTTTTGCTTAAATGTGAGTTTGAATGACTTATTATTTCACTGAAGGTCCTACTGTACGTCCTAGACAGATGCGTGGGGAATCCTTGTCTGTTCATGTTTTTTCCCACCAGGGGATGCTGTAAACAAGAGTGCAGGAAAGGAGAAACAATAGTAAAAGGATGTGAAGTCTGCCTTTGTCACAGTGTTATGAGAAACTCATTTCCTCTTTCCATTTGAGAGATGATCGTCTGTTTGAAAAAGGAAGTTTTTGGGGTTTTTTTTTTTTTTTTTACTGTGGCAAACTTTTCGAATGACTGATTGCAGCGTAAAGGCAGATATGACACGAGCTTTTGTGTTCATGTTGTGTGTTTTAAGAGATTTCTGTCATCCTGCCCCTCAGTGTTGCTTTTCTCTCCCCACTCCTTTCCCTTTCTTCTTCTCCTTCTCTCACTCTTTTCTTTTTAATTATTCTTCTCCCGATCTTCATCCTCCTTCTCATCAATCTTTTTTTTTTCTTTTTCACTTCCCCATTTATGGTCATCTCCCTTCTCTCTTCCAGTCTCTCCTTGCTTCTCTGCTTCTGCATATTACTCTATTACTAACATTTCTCATTTTCTCCCCCTTCCTCTTCTTCTCATTTCCATTTCCCTCCACTTCTGTCTCCATCTTGCTTTTATTTACTACCTCGCTACTTCTTTCTTTTTCTCTACGATTCCATTTCTCACACCTTTCCCCACACTTCTCCCTGTTTTATTCACCCCCCCTTGTCTTTCTAATGTATCCACCCCAGGGTTCCAGGCGGATCCGCCACCTCCACCTCCAGTCCTTTGCCCCTAGCACCAGTCCCCGGCCTGGCCCCTAACGCAGAGCTGTCCCCTCACAGCTGGGTGACGGCAGGGGGAGATGGCGGCCGGCTTTCCAGTGACGAGGGAGACGCAGAGACTCCAGAGGACCCTGACAGACCTGCCGTTCACTACTCCAATCACCACCCACAGCCTTCTGGGGTACATACTATGACTACTAACATACATTTTCATAGTCCATAACCTCAGGGCATTAAAAACTCATTTGCACAACTTCCAGCCAGGATTTTCCACCTTTACCCCACAGGGTCTGCTCTTAAAAGCCATTTAGAGGAATTATTTTTTGTTGGTGCCTCAGCTGTAGCTCTTATCCAATGTTTTTGTTGCAAAGAAAAAGGCAAGGGCTGTGTGTCAGATTGATTTCAGACTCAGAGGGAAGAAGGTCAGTGGGAAGATTGAAACCACTCTAATGTCCATCCTTTGAATATGAAGCCACAGCTAGGAGACTAGCTTAGTGTAAAGAAGGAAGTAAGGAGCAACTTGTTACATCTTGTTTGATGAATCTGTACAAAAAAACAAGGTGTAAAAACAGCTTGTGGTTTTTTGTTATGTTTTATGCCAAGCTATCTCTTGGGCAGGAGTCATGACTTCCTGAAATTTTGTTATCACGGAGAAGTTGCCAGGCGACCAGCGGAGAATCCAAATTCTTTTTCCAAAAATTAGCAATTTTCTAAAAATGACAAACTAAGTGCCCCTGCTATGATTAAAATATATAGAGTGTTGTTTTGTATATAAGCAACTGATGCACACTTTTACACTGCTGTAAATAAATCTGTAGCAAATACTTGACACTGATCACCTCAGTGCCTGGTTATAGTTTCTGTCCGCAAACATATGACTATTCAGAATCTGAAACAAGACTTAAAAGGTGATCACAGGAAGGTGACATCAAAGGTGAAATCAAAGGTTTTAGCTGCCCACTGTACTACAGGTGGAGAGGCAAATTTTCAATTAGAACTAAAAAAAAAAATCGTTGATTTGGTATTATCGTCTCAGCTTAGGGATTGGTCTGGGTTAGTAGTTTTTTTAATTTCTGAAGTTCTAAAGAAGATTGTGGCATTGCTTGTCCTCGATCATCTTTCATATCTGTCTGTGTTCATTTGGAATTTTTCTGCCTCTTCTCTTTTCTCTCTTTGTCATCTGTTCTTTTTCATCTATCACTGTTTCTGTCATTTGACACCACTTTCTCTCCACATCCTGCTCCGTCTCTGCCCACCTCTTACTCCCTCCCTCTCTCTCTTTTTTTTTTTTCCTTGTTTCTCTCTGCCCCCTCTTCATCCATCGGCCCTTCTCTTCCTCTTTCTCCATTCCGTCTACCTATCCCTCCTGCTCTCCTCCTTTTTTCCTCTCTCCATGCCTCACCTTACCTCCCTTCTGCCTCCATCATTCTACCACTTCCTTCCCCTCTCACCCCCTGCTTCCCTTTTCCAGTTTTGCGTATTCAGCAGCAGGCTCATGGGACGGGGCCACTATGTGTTCGACAGGCGATGGGACAGGATGAGGCTGGCGCTCCAGAGCATGGTGGAGAAACACCTCAACGCACAGATGTGGAGGTGAGTGTCCCTGAACGTACATTGTGGGCGATTCGATTTTCTCAGCGTAGAGCTGCTTCACTTAAAGGTACATGTGTAAATGAACACAATGAGCTTGTAATGCATCTCTAGTTTACGCAGGAGTAACTGTGTGAATGTTGTTCTTGAATTTCACAAGGAAGCCACTACAAATGAAATGGATGGTAAACATTCTCCAAATCGAGTTGTCAAGTTGGGGAAAATTAAATAGACTGACAATATGAGCAAGTGTAAATATGAGAGAACGTGACGTGTTGTGCTAACCTATTTTTATAAGGGATGGAGAAACCCAGTTAACTGGGTAGACAGGAAGTTTTTGATGTCACACATAAATGTAATCAAACAAGATGCCAGTTCATTTAATGTTAAAGTGTAGCAGAGAGAACATCACAAATACAGAAAGAGAAAAAGATGATAGGTCTCCATGAAATTGTTGATAAGTGAATCAGACGAATGATTGGGAAAGTAAGGATTTTTTAATCATATTGATAAAATCATGGGAGGAGCAACAGCAGCTAAAAGGTTAAAGAAAACCATTGTTCAGTACAACACTGTGCATTGATTGGTAATAAAGGTTTAGTACTCTGAATTTATACTGGCAATGAGACAACTTTATTACTTTTAAAACGTCTTGTCCCTTTGGGTTCCAGGAAGGTGCCTCTGGCTGCTGAGAGCCTCCTCTCCCACTCCTCCTCCGGTACCTCCTCCGTCACTTCACAGCGGACTCCCTCTCCCACATCTCTCACCTGCCCCTCCTACACCGTCACCTTCCCACAGTCCACGTCCACAGCTGGGGTGTTCGGCATCCGAGAGGCCCCGCAACCCCTGACCGCCATTTCCACACCGGGCAAAGCCCGTAACAGCACCCATAAAGCCAGCCGCCCACCCAAAGACACAGAGGACTCTGTAGTGGGATATAAGAAGAGAAAAAACTCTTCCTACTTGTCTTCCTCCCTTACTTCTTCTCCTTCTTCCTTGTTTTCATCTGTGGATAATCACAAGAGGAACGGCAGCAGCTATCATCCAACATTGCAAGGTTCAGGGGGCACAGCTGCCTCCCCAGCCAGGAAAAAGGGACTTGGGCGTGGGGGAAGCGGGCTTTGGCGCAGCGGAGATGACTGGCTATCCAGATCTGATGGGTCTCAAAGCCACAACTCACAGAGCAGGTGGGTTGCGGGCTTCGACAGCAGTAGAAAATGAGGTTGATCTTTCTTATGCAGGATTGAATGACTGGATTTCTTCAGGTTTTTTTGTTTTTTGTTTTTATTTTTGTTTCACCTGCTTGTTCAGGATGAAGTCTGTTGTTTTCCAAAAGGTGACAGTTTTCTAAGAAGTGTGTATTCTTGATACTGACGAGGATCTGTTCACTCATTTCAAGGCCTTGTATACAAGAGCATATAAATATAATACAGTGATGTGAAAGCCTTATTAAATTTGTTTTAGTGTGATGGTCTAATGAGGGAAAGTTTGATGGTAACCAGGGTTACAAACAACACAATACAGGCTCAGCTCAGCACATAACATAGTACAGTATGCAGAGAAACACATGAGAGGGTGATTCATTAAAAGTAGAGCAGTGTGTAAACAGAGAGGACGGTGCCAGCAGTGCAAAGGCTGTGATGACAGGTGTTTGGCTTTTCCTTTGAAATATACAGCTCTGTAAAAACCTGCTGCGATAATTTTATTCTCGTCTAAATAATTTCACTGCTGTACAGTGAAAGTTGGAAGTGAAGCTTACTGTATGTCCTTAATGGCAATTTCCTCTTCTGCTCCTCTCCAGTCGCGATCTTGGCACGACCAGTATACCCTACTCGCCATCCAGGGAGCCTGCCTCCACGCCTCATCAGCCCCTGGCTCCCCCCTCTGGACCCCTGGCTTATGGGGGAGGAGCCGAGGGGAGGAAGAGGAGGAGTCCCAGCTCTTACAGAGGGAAGGCCAGCAAGCTGAGCAGGCCAGGAGGACTGGAGAGCCTCTTTGGGAAAGGAAATGACATTGGAGGGATACTGGCTTTGGGGCCGGAGTCCCCGAGACAGGTTGGTGTTGCATCTTGTCTTCTCAGTAACCCGCAACTAAAAGCATCCCAGGCTGGGATTTGGTTTGCTCAAAGCCGCATCATCAAGTCGAAATTATATTCAAGAGAAATGATGATGATCAGCAGCAAAGATAATATATATGTAAATCAATGCACTGTTAACCCACTGTAATTGAATTTTCTGAGGGTAAATGTCATGCTAACATGCTCAGGATGACAGTGCTGACTTCCTGATATTTGGCCGATATAGTGTTTACCATGTTCACCAGCTTAGTTGAGCGTTTTAGCGTGCGGACATTTGTTACTTAGAACAAACTACAGCTGAGGTTTAATTTTGACCTCATGGTGGCGCCATGTTAGTTTTTGCCATTTTGTGTTAGTGAAGAGAACAACACTAGCTTAGTTTACTGCAATAGGGGATACAACAGATCAGAATTACAGTGTATTTGACCACTGCTGTTAATACAATGTATTTTAACGCCCCCCTGCTTCAGTTCAAGGAGCTGCATGTGGCACTTCTAAACAGTGAAAGTGAATTTGACACTTCAGATTGAAAAGTGTTTGTTCTAATTTTCTAGTTTCAACTTTAATAATAAAGTGACAGCCCTGATATGGATGTGAAAAAGTACAGGTCAGGTGGGAAAAGGCAGTTCATTTTCAAAATAATTGAACTTGCTTTAAGCGTAGTACATCATAGCACACAGATACAGAGCAGCAAAGTGTTATTCATGTAAACAAGTATTTCTAATTACTAAGATTTATGTATATTTTTTAAAATACTGTAAAAATTGCTTTACACAGTGCAAAACCGTGCTAAATGAAAACCAGTTAATGTCTCTGTCCTCCTCTCCCTACAGGCCAAGTTGCATCACTGACAGGAACCTGTCTCATGGACAGAATGTTGGGCAGCTGTGCAGGCCACCACCGTTTGTGACCTTTGACCTCACCACTCTTCCACCGACAGCACCAATCAGACTGCTTCATCTCGGCGATGTCACCCCTGTTTACCCAGTGACGGCTCAGTTCACCCGCTGTGATACCGGGGCTCTGGAGTCTTTGCTCACAGTCGAGCTGGCAGTTTTACTTCCGTGCATCACAGCGGTCGTGGTTTTCTCAGAAGATGACGGCGGATTCCAAAAAAACTTATCCTCTGAAAAGGGAATATGCCTCACAAAGTTTTCAAGGCATTGTTAATAATACCACCTCTGTACAATTTTTCAGAGAGGCAACTTTTTTTTTCTGGTTGTTCTGACCATGTTCCTGGTTGCTGTGGTTGGTCAGCAGACAAGGAAAGAGGTCTGCGATTGTATTTGGGATTTAGATGGTTGAAGGACCTATTGACACGACTACTGTAGGACTCTGACTTCAGCTACGCCACCTCACCTGCCCCCCACCCCCCACCCCTTTTACCCTTTTTTCTGTCTTTAGCTTTTTCCCCCTACTCAAAGATGGCGGAGGCAACAGCAGTTTTAGTTGGGTTTTATCCAGCTTTTTCCTCTGCATCAACCTCTTCCTTTTTTTCTAATTTCTCTCCATCTTTCTGGAGCAACTTTTTCCACATCTCTGAAATTCTCTCCTTTTTTTTCTTTTTTTCTTTTTTTTTCTTTCCAACTGTCTGTCCCTCAATCCCTCTCCATCCCAGCATGCCCATGTTCAAAGTGCACTTACTGGACTCGCATCCCTCTTCACTGACTCCAGAGCAGTCTCCAGCAGTGCCACACAAGGACCTGTTCACACAAGGGAAGAAGAAACGTCTGTGTTACCAACAACGCCGCGTCAATGCATTGTAATTTCAGTACAGGAAGAATTTTATTTGAAGATTGTATTTTTTTTGTTTTTCCTCCATTCTGGTTTAAATGTTGCAAGAAACACAAACTCCTGTGTGTGTGTGTCAGGACTTGCACCCAAAAAAGGAATTATTACTACGGTGTTGGAATTTTTCTTTTTTTTTTTTGTATAATAATTTATGTTCTGAAATGATGTTTGTTTTCTTACTGACCATTGAGGTTTGAGCTACAGAGACATTTTGAGCAAAAAATAATTTCTATGACATTTTGAAGAAAAATGTTGAAAGTGTTATGGTAGTTCATATTGTTGAAAATGTGTACATATCTGTTATTATTTTTGTATTTATTAATAATTGTCCCCTTTTACTAAATATCAGCTAAAAGAGGGAATATTTTCGCCCTCCTACCTTGGTCTGTGTTAAATAATATTGATGAGAATGGTCTGGTTTCTCAAAACCTTCACAAATTTGTAAATTAGCTTTAAGTTTAATTAATACTCACACACAGCCGGATATGAACTTTGACTGTTTCAGTTTATGTCATTTCCATTTATCTGTGTTACCAGGTCACAACAACCTGCGGCAAATTCTACAAAATAGTTCTAATAACTAAGTGTAGTTAATTCTGGCTAATTTTGTCCAACAAGAAAAGTCTTAACTCAAGGTCCACTCACATTGCTTTTTCTAGAGCTTCATCTGCATCTCACATGCTGTGTCCCAACTCCATACTAATTGTTTACGGTATATGTTATTTACTAATGACTGTAGTATACTGTTTTTTTTCTGTTAGTATACAAGAAATCAACATATTTAACTCTTCTATACCAACAGGAAATTATACAATATATGCACCGACAACAGGTCAGTCAAATTGCTACTTTGCAAAGCCGCTGCCGATTTTACTTCCCAAAGAGAAAGCAACATGTTTGTTCCAAAGATTAAATACTGAATTTTTCTAAAATTTTCTGGAGCGGTTTTGCCACTGCCCACAATTTATTTACACTTTTGCAGCTATCCTCCATTTCCTATGTGCATTGCACTTTAGGCCAATACCGTCCATCAAACAGCACTCTCCAAAAAAAAAAAAAAAAAAAAAAAAAAAAAAAATTTAATATGCATGCTGCATTATTTTAATCTACTCTTTTTTTCTCACTTTTACACTACACACTCAAAATGCACTTAGAGTTCGTGTGTAGTTTGGAACTGGGACAAAGCCGCAGTGTTCATCAGCAAATTGAGTTTACTAAGCTGTCATGAAGATGGCTCAGTTGTCATCACATGACCTAAGTATTTCAGTTCAAAGGTTAAGAATGAACATTGACGCTCAGTTATGTTGTATTTTGAAGTATTTCCTACCATTTACAGTGATACCGACCATAATGGAAGACAGCTGTTACAGAGGACATGGCCTACATCACAACTTACTCTGTCAACATGGTCTATTTTTCCATCCTGACACCAGAAAGTGGAGATTCTCCTGCAAGCATGAGGTCGGGGCTTCATCCCCATGTGCTGATCAGGATATTTACCCCTTATTTAGCTCTTAAAGGCTGACGAAAGAATGTTAAGATAATTATGTTACACATAACCATGTAAAAATGTGAAATATGGCTGCACCAGGTATCTAAGTAGTCCAGTGTCCCATCTAAAAACTGTATTGATTGGTCAGTTCTGGTCATAGTTACTGGCAGAGTCCCATTTTGTTTTCAAGAGGACTCCATTCAAGACTTTGACATCTTTAGACGTTGCTCGAGCCCTGTAACGTAGAGATGATGGTACAAAATGTCAGTGGACAGTTGGGCTTCTATACTAGTATTTCTTCCTGTCATTATTAGTGGAAACCACACCAGTACACAAAGTGTATCTGATGTACACTAATGAAAAAAAGAAAAGAAAAGTTGGTTTTGTGAAACCAGGCAGTGCTTATTTTGCGTTTTTTCATATAAAGGGCCCCACATTCCTGTTTGCCTGTGGTTCTCCCCTTTTTCATGTTTCTTCCAATGTTCAGAACTATAGTTTTAAACTGTCTTCATCTTCTGAGGCCAAGTGCTGAGATCGTCTAACAGCTCTGTGATCAGTTTAGTGATGCCGGTGTGGTGGTCTTTATTTTACTGTAGATACACATGGTTTAGCTCGGTACTCGCAGTGTACAGTTAACACGCCTACAATTACAATATTAACATTTTTTCTTTTTTTTTTTTCCCACTAATTTCTCTGTTTTGCAGCCAGTTGCCACCTGCCGTGCTTACACCTGTTAGAGTCTTCAAACCTGCTTTAAAAGACCAACAGATACACTAGTATATAGATGGTTCATATTGCTTTACCAGCTAAAAAAAAAAAAAAAAAAAACCATAGCGTGGTTGGAAAGTTTGATTTTCCAGCTCACGTGTATCTATAGATCAAAGATGATGATCTTAGCTCTGCGATGGTTTTGGGAAACGCCACCCCACACTTACTGTTTATAGTAATAGAAATGAGAAGTTACAGTTTGTTGCAGCTAAAATTAAGACAAAGCTCATGGATATTGATTTCGGAGCAGTTGTATATTGTCTTTGCTGTTAAATTCTACGGAGGTTTTAACAGTTTTTTTTTTTTCTTTTTAAACCCTCCCTGTTCCTTTTTTTGCACTTTGTCATAATGCCCAGATCTTTAATCAACTTCTATTTATATAAATATTTGAGATATAAAGAAAAAATCTATATCTATATATTTGTTAAATTGTTTCTGGCAACTACAGTAAAAGAAGATTAAGAGTGTATTCTTGGTGAGTTGGCCCCTAAACCAGCACACCGTTGATTTTTTTTTTTTTTTTTTTTTTTAATCTGATTCAAACTGTGGTCAATGTTGAATGTCTGAAAAATTGTAAGATTTGGGGTTTATTCAGTCTCACTGAAGTTCGATCAGAAAATGGATTTCCCATCAAAACAATTTAACACTTGCTGTAAAAAAAAAAAAAAAAAAAAAAAAGGTCTTATATCCAAGCTTTTATTAAATGATTGAAAGTGGTTGTTGTGTTATTTGTAAATCAAAGATGCAGCTTTTGTAATTGGAAGAAAAGTCCCTCTGCTGATGAATTACAAAAGTTTGTTTTGTAGATTTCACTTGTCATTTTTGCAGCTGTGTGTTCAACGTTTTCTGTCCAAGAAACTCATCATTTCCGTCTGACGTGATATTTCTGTATGGCTAGAAAAACAAAGAGCTTCCATGGTTGTCAGTGTTTCACGATGAAGCTTCATTCATATATTTTGTATTGTGTAACCTTTTGACGCATTTCTATGCTTGAATTTTTTCCCCACATGTGTCCGTGCTCACTACCTGAACACTGAAGTGTGCTGGGTCCTGTGTCTCCAAGCAAGAATCTGAGAATAGTTCCAACATTTGACACCTGTGCTGACTTTTGTTTTCATGTTTTTATTTTTATTTTTTATTTTTTTTATTTTCCCCTTGCAGGCTGGTTCCAGTGGCGGTGATGTCGGTCGGTCTACCTCTTTGGTCCAGACTGAAATATTTCAGCAACTACTGCATGAAGAGGATCAATCCTAGGCTACTGACTGTGGTAATCCCCTGACCTGTCCTCTCCAGCCACCAGCAGGATGACATTTTGGGCTTTTTGTGAAATGTCTTGACAACTGTTGGACGGACTCGTTGTCGTAGAATTGGGCACGTCATTTTCATGGTGCCCACAGGACGAACCCTGACCATTTGACCAGATAGATTTAGCACAAAATGTAACTTCAGTGATCCCCTGGTAGACTTTCAATTTGTCCGACTTCAAAGCTAATACATACCAGGCTGCAGTAAACAGTACTGCGTTAAAACATGACAGTTGCTATTAACTTGATCTAAACAGATCCTTCTTCATTAACTGTGAAGGGCTCTCCCGAACTTCCAAAGAGGCTCTCGGATTGTGACTCTTCAGCCTACGTTGGCAAGAAAATTAAGCCATAAACAAATTTTGTGGAGCGCATAATTAAGAGCATAACAAGTGATCTTTGAGGAGCCCCATCTTGATGCCTGTTGTTGGAGCAAAGCTGATTCTTTATTCCATCTTTTATCAGCTGTTAAGCACTGAAAAGCAGCTCATTAGTTAGAAATGCAACATTTTAATCACAGAACATAAGTTCAGACACCTGCCTCAGTAAATATTCAACATGTTGGAGCATGATGTTGTATCCCCGACCAATTTCCGGTGGCAGTGTAGCTCTCCGAGACATTTGACCTCCAAATAAGATTAATAATAAGACAATTTCCCCTTAGGGACTGACAATGCTTTCATGATGCAACTTCCTCACACAAAATCGTTTTTTTTTTTTTTTTTTTTTTCCCCCAACCCTAATCTCATGCCAATGTACTGTTGAGATGAAATAGGAGCCCACGGTTGAGCATTAACTCAGACTGTTCTGTGGTTTACACTTTACGGCCCTTCTCTCTTTATAGCACTGGTTTTATGTTGTTATTGTTTACAGTGGGAGAACAGGCCACTGAGACTTCATCTCTGCTCCAGCCGGCCATTCAGCAAAATTCCCACTATGACTCGTCCTCACACGTGAAACTTCATACAAAAAAAAAATTACGAGCAGCAACTGTCTGCACTGGATTCCACCTGTCGATCTTAATTTACAGACTCAACCAAAGCAATGTCTTTTTCTGCATCTTTTCTACATCACAAACCTCAAGGTGTCAGTGTGAGTCTCGCGGCGGAGCCCACAGATCACTCCCAACTAAGCAACTAAAAGGGAAAAAATCACATTTAACATGAACCATAAAACGGAGGCTAGTTTTGATCTTTTTTATAAATAAAGAAAGGGGCCAATGGAGCCCTATTAACCAGCTTCATTTTGTGTCTGCTACGTTTAATGGTCATTAGATTAATTCAGAAAGGGAGCAGATAATTTACCAGGATTCATCCGCTTGGATATTTTTATTAAAAAGAAAACGAGGCGTCTCCCAATGTCTCATTCATCCAGTTTGTAGAAGTATGGAAATAACTTATAAACCACATAAATATGCAATAATGTGTTCTGGTAACTTCTACTAAAATGTGATTTTTTTTTTTTTTGTGATCACTGACAATTGTCTTCTGTTTAGCCCCTGGAAGTGATCTTTGTCACTGTTGTGGAGGCTAACGGCTAATGAGTCCTCAAGACTGAGTCAGATGTGACTGTAGACCCCCAGAGAGCGGTTACTAGGGACTGACTTAAAAGAAAAAGAAAAAGAATGAAGAGATCATAAAGAGACTGAAATTTACTCGATGGAGCTATCTGGAAACCTGCTTATTTAAATAATTTGAAAATGGTGAGAATACAAAAGTCCCTATCTTACAACCTACATTTTGATGTTTTGCTTTGGTGAATGTGTGTTATTCTGTGAGAGTTGGGGCTAGATACATGGGGTGGAATATCAGTAACGTTAAAGTCATATTATTGATCTTAAAGTAACAGTCAAATTTTATGTTGACTCTCTCATTCGTGACAGAGGTAAGAGGGGAACAGGATCTTGAGTCGGCTCAGGGAGAGGTGCGGTCATTGTGGTGTAGGCCCCCCACACACACACACACACACACATACACACACATACACACAGACACACACACACACGTTGCTCCGATGTATGCATCTGAGGCTGGAGTTTACGAGAATTTTTTGTCCCACAAAAGGAGCTGCTGCATTATTTTTTCATGATCCCTGTTACGCACAACGCTCCATGATCTTGCTCATATGCAAATCCCATTTCCAAACATTTTCCTTCTTAAGAGGAAATGATTCAACCCAAAACATACTGTATGCATTTTGTTCCTTTCATACTGGGCATTGTAGCAGATTTAACTATCTTTTTTTTTTGTAATACAAAGCGGATTAGCCAAACTTCTGGGTTTTTTTTTTTATAAAACTACAGGAGAGGTTTAAGGGCATTTAAAGAGGCACTGAACCTGCTTTTGAATATAAACAATCCCCTTGAAATTTTACTCAATAAAACTAATTATGATTAGATTTTGATATAGAGCTCACAGTCCTACAGCTGAAAGCTAGTGTGCAAAGTGTCACATTACAGTGACCTGTGCTGCTGCTATGGGAAACATATTAAACAGCACTGAAGCAATGGCTGTAGTTGTATGCCCTGTACAGATGGCTCTACTGCCATCTATTACTGCTCTCCAGACAAATCGCTACATCCAATTAGATTTATTTGAGCATGACATCCAGCAGGCGTTTTCTACCCACTGCTTTCCTCAGTGCCTTTTTACATTAATGGACTGAAATGACTGAAAAAAATACATTCCCGGCAACACTGACACCTTATGTGTAACTCTTAACACGACCCCCCCCCCCCCCCCCCAAAAAAAAAAAAATCTCATCAGCCACATATCAGATCATGCAACGCAGAACAAATGATGTCAACCCCGAAGTAAAGAACTGCTCTTACTTAATCTTCATTTATTCAGATACTCCTGCTGGGATGAACAGTTACTGCACAGGTCGTCTTCTGAATTCATAATTACTGCAGCTGCCACGAATGTCAGATATTTACATCTAAGGAGGCAACATTGGTAAGTAAAAACTAATTAAAATATTTTGTGAAAGACTTTAATTTTCCGTCAATGAATACAGATCTGATTACACTGAATGTTTGGGGATTTTCATACCGTTTACAAATTTGTCAATCGTAATAGTTTCCTCTACTGGAAAGTTTAATCGGGGAAAACAATATTTTATCAGTCTAATCTTGATCATGTTTGTCTCCTAAGTGGATGAAGTTGTACCCTAACCCTCCAGCATCTTAACCAGTCTCTCCATACAAGCCCCAGTTTTAGCCCCCCGCTAAAATTACAGACAGGCTTTTGAAATTACCAGTGTAAACAAATTGTTTGTCATGCACCAAAAGTGTCCAATCATGTCACCATGTGGTGCGATAAACGCAGCCTGCATGTAACTGAGAAGATAAAAGCTCTCGGCTCTATTCGGCCACGTCCATGAATGCCGAGGAGTTTCTCCCCCCATTGCAAACAGCATTCTTATGATAATGGAATAATGCTGGTGCTTTAGTTAATTGTGTATATGCGATAGTGGTGGGCACCTTTTGTTGGGAGCTCTCGTGAGCCTAAAGGAAGGAGCTGGCAGGGATTATAAATTCCCCCCCAACAACCGCACTTTATACCCACTTTGCATTGAATGAGTTGAGTGTTTTTCTTTATTTGATTTGGTTTAAGATTTTCTCGGATGTGTTCAATAGAGGCAAGAGCATTTTTTCTGTGTTATTTCTCACATATTTGACATCTCTCAAATGCTGCCTAACCTGGTGGCTAAATAAAAAAAAAAATCTGAATAGCTCAGGATGTTGCCAGTACTAGAAGGATCCTTTACAACAGGTGCAACACATCAGTTTGTTCACAATGTGTCCAAATCAAAGTTTCACTTTGTACTGGGTAAAGTAGGACAGCAGCTTAGCTTAAGTGGGGCACCTTTCTTAACTATACTTACATACTCGAAGTCAAGCTCTAATTGTAGGGTAACAATTACAGTTTAATTTACTGGATTTACTGTTTACATTTCAAGGTACTGCGCTGATATTCCTCACTGGAATGAGTTACCAGGTAGGGTTTGGCTGTCTAGCTCATGGGCTGGTGTGACACGACTCACTGTAGACCCTTTTAGTGGCCTCACCAAATACTGAGGTCACTCTGATGTCCTACTCCTGAGCCCATCTCACTGAGTTACCAAACCTAACAGCATAGCATACTTTAGAAGTCTAACCATAAGGTAATAGTGTGAAGTCACACAACTAGTAACAAGTACCACACTATATTTTGCTCATGTTCTACACGGTGGAAATTCTTGTGCTTACTTCTATTATACTATATACCTAATAGCATAAATCCAGATTGTACGTAAATATTAAGTTATACTATTTCCAGAGTGTAAGTCTATATAATAGTACTTAAATCTTTTTTGTTACTACAAACTGTACTTTAGAGTGAGCCCCCACGTGTTATAGTGCTGGACCATAGTGCTTATTTTAAAGTACTCTGACTGAGATTCCTATTTAAGTACTATGCTATATGGAGTTGTTGTATTACTGCGCAACATCTTAATATTTAAGTAAATGTTAATTAATTATTTGACTTTAACTAATTATTTGAGTACTAGTCCATGAGAGTCCATGTTTTACACTCAGAAAAATGCCCTATTGCTTCTAATGCCCTAATTGCTATTAATGTACTAATGCACTAAAATATACATATGTGTGTGTGTATACATATACATACATATGTATATATGTACACATGTATGTATATATATATATATATATATATATGTGTGTGTGTGTGTGTGTGTGTTTGTGTGTGTCTGTGTATTTTTTCCTTTTAACAGGGCACTGCAAATGCCTCTACCTTTATGATTTACTTCCTGTTTACCTCTGTCAAACACATGTACACCTTACGTTGTCATCATTGACATTATTTCCTGTCAGTTTGCATCAACAGCCTTCCTTCAGCTTCATCACCTGCACACACTCACCTGTGCTGTCACAGTCACTACATCACTACATGTACAATATCATAGTATGAGCCAGCTGACTCCAATTATCTGAGCTGATCTGATGCTTATTCTAAACAGCAGTTAGTGGACGCATTAGTCAGCCAAATTACTTGGGTTTAGAAGCCAGTTTAATTCAGAGGGTTAATTAATATTCGGGTAAATTGGGTCATGTGGTCAGTTGAGTCGATTGATTTGACATGTTTTACATTTCAGTGTTATCCAGCTGAGAAGAACCGATGGTCCCAACAAACAGGTTTATTTTCAACAGTCTGTAAACTAGGTAAGGATTTGCTATCTCTGCCTGAAGTTACATTTACTTGTAAACTGTTTTGTTTTGTGTCCACAGTTGCTGTAGTTATTAGTTTTACAAATTATTATTATACCTTTTATTTTTTGAAATGGCTGAACGGTTGTACCTGTCAATGTAAAACAATAACGTCAACCTGGTTGCAGCTGCTTCACTGGGCTCTTACAGTTAAGCTAACTAGCTTTGGTGTGAAATAGCGCGAGGTTAAATTTGTGAAAATATTCGCACACCTGACATTTTAATTAAGACACGACATCACAAAACACTGGGCATGTTCATGGTTTGGTTACTTATGTTGGTTATGAGCAAGTTTAACGTGGGGAAGGTTACAGTAAGTGAAGCGAAACAGTTATCTAGTACAAATTACTTAGCTAACCCCTCTACTGCTACTGCTAAACTGAGTTAGCAACGCTGGACATTAGCATAATGGGCACACATAAATTAGACTAGATTTTTTTTTAGAGTCAATAGAAATAGAGAGTCAATAGAAAACATTTTAATATGTTTTTAAAAGCTTCTTCTTTTGTTTGCGGGGGCGTTGTGTGATCACATGGTGAACTTATTAACATATAACCTAAAACGAATAGTCAAAGTGTTAGCCAAAACGAGTCTGTTTTGTGGGTTATTAATTGACTCAGTGGCACCTGTACTAGCGTCAGTGCTCATGGGATTTGGAAATTAGACTAAACCCATTGGAATCAGGATCTATGAAGAGGATGAATTTATCATCACTTGTTGCCAAAGTTTTGTTAAGGGGTCCTTGGAGGGACTTCAGTGGATCCCCAGCCAAACGAAGGATAGGTTATTAACATCAATTTCCATATGCTCATTTGCATATTGTAGAGTAAAGTGATGTTTGTAAAGAAGTTAAATGTAATAAATCTGTTCCATATTACATTTAAACAAGGAAGTTAAACTTCTCAGATGTGGCTCCTGGAAGAATATTTTTACCAGGTGTAAGACAATGGTATCATGTACCTGTAAATCCTATTTTATTATAAGAATATAATATAGAAAACGTGCATATTTGTAATCAGTAAAAGCTATCTAATTTTGGCCACGCATTTCTGAATATCACAGATGAGTCTTATCGTTGTTTGTGCAAGATTTTTTTAATAGATGGTGATTTTTATATAAAGAGAAAAAGTATTTAATCTGTTGCATTAAGTTTTGGAGGGTGTAACCATCGCCTATTTTATATTGCTTTTGCGTCGTGGACTCTTATGGAGAACCTGTGTCCTCAAAAGGTTGCGCGTTTTGGGGAATAAATCAGCGCTACAACAGTGGCCATTGGTTAAAAGTTGGAAATTTATTAAACTTTTCTTAATTAAAAGAGGTCAAATATTTCCTTTTTTTCTCAATGTTGCTCTAAAGTGCCGGCATCTCCAGCTGAAATTGGACATAGAGGGTGCACCTTTGCGCAGAGACTGGTTTAGTGCTGAGAGGCTCCTCTGGGTGCACAAAGACAGCGGCTCGCAGAGGAACTTGTTCAGAGTGAACCGGGGACGCTGGGAGGCGAAATAAACAATCTCCGGACTCGAAGTAGCCACGGCCGCGCAGTTTTACCCCTTTAAACACACGATTCCACCACTCATCCAAGAAATACAAGGTAAGGACTTGTTTTTAACACGTTTCAGCGGGACTGGAGGGCTGCGGAGCGGGTTAAACCTCCTTCGCTCTGGCTTCCCGAGCATGGTTGTTTTTGCAGAAAATGGCGTCATCGCCCTCTTGTTTCTGCCTGGCCGCGGTGGGGAGAGGAATAGTTTCAGAGACTTGTAGCAGCCTTTACGTGTGGCGTTTAACCCCTCAAAGATCAAATCACTTACTACGATGTGTTTTATTCAACACTAAATCGTCAAAATACGAGATAGGTGATGATTTCGCTCGGTAGAAGGACGCGCAAAGATGGAAGGGTCACCGGTCCTGTGCGCCAAGCTGCTTCTTGGAAAAGGTGGCACGGAGCCGCAAAACGCAGCGTTTTACATTCGTAATAATGCCATCCCCACCGGCTCTGGGCTAATCCAAATGACCGAGGATGGTTTAATGTTATTACCCGGGTGGTGATGGACGTATTTATGGGAGTGCTGCACCTTGTCTTTGTGTGTATTTTATTCGGGTTAGCTCGTTTTTACGCCGCACTCCCCTGCCATGCTGCAATCGTTATGAGGGGCCTCTCTTTTACGGCTTGAAAGGTGCATTTTATACTTGGCTTTTCCTTTGATCAACTTAAGCTGCCCCTTTGTTGCTCAAAATAGTGGCGTTTTTAGGCTGACAATATAACCGTGTAAAAAGAGATTTTCGGGGATAATGGGGGCGATGCAAATCGTGCCATGAGAACGGCGACTGCCCTGCGCTCTGGTTCGCTGCTTGCCAGACAAGTACAGCCTGAATGAGATAAAAATAAAAGTCTTTTGGACGAACCACATAGTTTGCACAAAACTGGGGAAGTCCGGCGCTGCGCAATGATTGTGCTGCTGCTTTGCGCAGAGCACAGTGGCAGCTGCTGTAACCGCCGCCACCATTTCGCCGCGATATTTTTTGTGTGTGTTGGCCAACCTTTTGTAAATAGTTGGGGACTCTTGGATAAAAGAGCACAATAGTATTCATGCGGGCCTTTATGGCCTGTGAATGCGGTCCTAAGTCCCACTCCGGCTGTCCTGTCTTTCCCCGTCAGCTACGTGCATGCGTCCTAGCACTGGCCACCACACATCCACCATAGCGAGGCCACTCGGTTCCCTGTGTATACGCTCTGCTTGGTTCCTCCTGTGACCAAAAGTCGAGGACCGATCGTGTGCTGAGTGTTACGGTACAGGCCATCACGATCAAATCGAAACAACAACGAAACATCAGCCAACGGAGACTGCACATCGCTCGTTCCGTGCACATTTTTATTAAGTTTCCTGAGTTATGCAACCGCATCCCCGTAGAGCGAACTGCTCATCCGCCTTTATTTACCCGTCACCCACCATCGGATGGATATTTCTATGTGTAATATCTGGTGAATTGGACCAGTCCCTGCGGCGACGACACTGAATTAGGAAGATATGTCATTTGCAAATCACCCAGTGCCATTTGCGTCACAGCCCGCGGCCTCGCACGCCCATGGGGGGCGATGGAGTTGCAAATGGAGACTGTGTGTGTGTGTGTGTGCTGACGCTGCCCCAGCTGAAAGGGAACCAATAGACACGGACTCGGGCGGCAACAATCGCCGTGCGCCTCCACTCTCCAGTAGTGCACCGACCTGGGATTCTGTAGCAACACGGAAGATCGCGCTGTTTATTCGGAATGGTTATGTTTCCATCGCACTGTCTGGGATGCGTAAGTGGATGCGTACACACACTGGTTAAACCGGCTCAAGGGCTCGACAGGCCAGTCGGAGAGGAGTGTATCCGTCCAGTCCGTCCCTCATGGTGCTCTGTCCATGTGGCTATTGTGGAGTCGCTCATGTGTGGATAAATGTCTTTCTACTGGATTGTGATGATATGACCGTAAAACCTTTATTAACAGCGCACAGACTACGGCTGGATTATGATTCCTACACTGGATACACACTCGCGTCGTTTTTATTACATCCTCAGCGCGCCACGCGTTTCTGGTTTGGAGATGAGCAGGGCGTTTTTATCCAGGGACGTTTTATTTGCGCTTTTGGGCACTGGCATGGTGTCATCCACCAGAGCTCAGAACTTATTCACAGGCAGAAAGTCCTGAAATTGTCAAACTAGGAAGTGAAGAATCAGTCAGCATGAGAATCGTGTATAGGGTTATGTTGTAGTGCATATGGACAACATGGAGTGTTACCAAGATATATAGGCTAGGCAATGTATATATATATATATATATATATATAGTTGACGTTTTAATTTAGATGACAGTGCCCACTTCCTGTATAAAGGCTGTGGATGTTAGCAGGTAGTGTATTATCCAGCCTTGTTACAGTTGTGGTTAAAAAAAAAACAAGTCAAGAAACAGAGATTCCTACCTACCCCCTGACTATTTTTATCTTTGATAATTTAAGGTTCCCAGATTACTGTTACTGCAAAGCTTGCTGCAACTTTGAACCTGCACATGGCTGCTATTTAAGAATGTGATTGTTTGATTGGAAACTTACTTTGTATTACATCGTGTCAGAGAACCTGGTTCAGTCAAAGTTCAGATGTAGAGATGGTCCAACTATACATGTGCTGTAAAGTTAATTAATCAGTTAGGCCTATGACCATCAACCCCTCTAAAAGCTGTAACACTACACGAGTAACTCTGACACAGCGGAGATGGCCAGTCTAACCTTGAGGAGGAGTATGAATGGGTAACTAGGACATGGGTGTAGATAACAAAGTGGGTTATCAGGAACTAAAATAAAATAGGGGGGAAAAAAGATCGGCCCAAAGTTGACAGAATTGCCCTGCATATTTCAAACACTTGTTATTCCTGTATTATATTGTTGTTCCATATACAGTATCATTTGCATTCAACCCATTTACAAGTCTTTTGCTGGCCTCCCATTATCTCAGGAGACTTGGGGTTATAGCAACCCGAGATTAGTCTTTACTTGTTAGAGCAGCAACTACGTCTGCCTGTCTCTCTACTTTGATAAAGTTTCCCCAGTTATCATAGGTTTTGACCAGAGCGGATGCTGACTGCAACAGTTTAATGATGTCAGCGTATGATTCAGTCAGTGTAATGATGTACCGTTGTGTTCAGTCACTGAGTCAGCTCGTCGAACCAGTGTTCAAGTTAAGTCAGTCAACAAACCCATTAACCTGCCAGTCATATAATCAGTCAGTAAGGCAAACAGGGCCAGACAGGAAGACAATCAGGAAAACAGTGTCAGCCAGTCAGTAAGGAAGTCAACCAGTGATCCAGTCAGTCTTATTACCTGCAAACCAGGTAGCGAATTGCTGCTTTCTTGTCTTGACATTTCACGCTAACATCACCATATCCAGTGCTTGTGGTTAATCATACATTTACCTGCACTTTTAGAGACTTGATTTCAGAGATCATAGGCTGTGCTTTCACACCTGGCCTGAAAATGCCCATTATGCATCTCCCGTGGCTATAGTTATTTAAATCTGTGTCCAGCTCCCTTTCCCACAGTCTGCTGCTTCATCTCTTTACATTGCTCTAATGTGCTGTGCGCCTGCTTTGAATCAAGACTACACAATGTACTATTCTGAATTTTCCTTTCATATCTGGTTTTGAAGATTCAGTAGCATTTTTTTTTTCTTTGCCAAATCCAACTCTTGTATACCCACTGTCCTGCTACAAAGTGTGTCCTGGCTTGATTAGGTGATGAAAGTTATCACAGAAACACAAGTTGTGCTTACTGCAGCTCTTAAAACAGCATATGTTTCAGTCCAGTAAACTTTGTTCAGTGATGAAGTCTGGGCAGAAACTGAAATGTTGCTGTTGGGGAGACTGAATGCTATTTCTGTAGTTAGAGGTAACTTGAGTGTGTATGTGTGAGCACAACTCTGTGTGTGTGTGCAATTTTTGTGTGTGTATGTGTGCACCTCTTAGGTATTTTCCCATTTGCAAAGAAATCTCTGCAGAGAATGATCTGTCGCTGCTGTGAGAAAGGTTTGGGAGTTTCCTAATACATAATATTTCTACACTTAGGACCAACTGGTGTGTGTGTGTGTTGTATGTGAAATAATGTTAGCACATAGGATGCTACAATCACTGGTAGTAAGATCATATTTGAAAGTCAAAGTTGTGTTTATTTTGTGCCACCGACGACTTTCCTGGACTGGTTTGCTCCTCCCATTTTATTCATGCTTAATTAATTTTTTTTTTTACAGCTGTCAAATACATCATTCAGCCAAGTTAAGCATGTTTAACTTTTTGAAGTTTTGTTTGACATTTGTTTGTCATTCACACAAGTCAGGAAACCACACTTCAGTCCAGGTAAACTCACACAGGTGTGGAGACAGTTTTGTAAGAGAACTTTGGTAGTGATGCGCATAGAAGACATTAACAGCCTATTGATTGGATGCAGGTTTTGAAATGTCTGCTTTTGGAAACAGCTTCACTGGCTGTTTTTTTGTTGGACACGTACTGTATGCAGGATCAATTTAGTCACATGAGTTCAATAAGGTTGAGGTGTGGATATTCAACATTGCAGCACAACTTTTTTTTCTTGTCACATGCTTTAACCGTGAACTTGAATGTTAGATAGACATACTTTACTTATACTTTATTTATCTCCTAGGGGAAATTCATGTTGTACTTATACATGGTAAGGCATCACATGGTTTTAAACATATACCATGTATTTTATATTCTGTTTACATTATAGTGCCTAAAATGGCCTATTGTTTATTTTTGTGTGTTTGTGTGCATATGGCATTTTTGCCAAGTGTGACTTCACATGCCTGCAGTGAGAAGCTGACAGAGTACAGCAGGACGATTAGCTCTATTTCCGAGATTGCCAACAATTGGTGAACCAAAAGTAAGGCAGCAAAAGGCCAGAGCCTCAGAACATGACCTCTGCCATTCAGTAATACTGTGTAGAAAATGCTCCGGAAAAAACATTTTGAAATGCTGGGGAACTCTTGTCAGCAGGCCACATCATTGTTCCCATCCTATCTCATAGTCAGGTGGTGTGTCTGCTAG